GTCATGGTCAGCCCCTAAGGAATCAGATATGCTCCAATATATCACACCATGCTTTTGAAAGCTACTACACCACTGAGGAACAGAGGCATGTCTCTATATTGCTCTTCATGACAATAGAACTGGAATAATATATCTGTTTATCAGTGTTAGAAAGGACTGAAACATGGCTTGTGTGCACTTGTATGCATGTACTCTTTGTGTGTGCTGACATGCCCTGTTTGATCAGACATCACAAACTAGACATAGTTTCAGTGGAGACCCTTTTCAGAATAACTTACAATAGAATAAAAAAGTCTGTAACTTTAAGTTCATTTTTATTTAATATAATTCTACATCAATTTCTGCAAGTATGGTAGCAATATTCCGATTTCATTGTTAAAGTTTAATTGGAAACAAAAATTCTTGAAATGCCAAATTAAAAATTGTCCAATCAGATTTTTTCTCTGTCATATCTACTTAGATACAGCCAAGAGAGCGCTACCATTAATTAGGAGCTAAGCTGAAAGCCTAACACATCAGACTAACTACCAACATAATGAACTGACAGGAACTGACAATGGAATCAACCAATCATGTTTTGATTTTCAGTGGATGGGACTAAATTTGTAAGAGAAAAACATCATTCTAGGCCTTTCAGAAGTCATAGATATATAGCTGACTGTGAATACTGGCCATTGTCTAATCAGGTTTCAGTCAGTTGTTAGAAAACGGTAGTGGCAGCTGAAGGGCTCTTTACTGAAGGAGCTGCTGTAAAACTGATACATACAAGGTAAAGTATACGTAAAACATGTGTGTTAAATGTCTTTTTCAATGTTAATGTTAACAGCTAAAAAAAAAATTATATTAATTACTGTTAGCTTGGCTCTAACACACTACATAGGAGCGCTAGAAAAGATTAGCATTATCATAGCAGTTTTTGGTTTTGACCAAGTTTTGGCATTTATGCCCTGAACTGAAGGCCTAGCTTTAATAGTTATGGTTGGCCACTACTGAATTGAATAGTGCTATAATAAAGTATAATTGATTCTAACATTCCAAAGGCACAGCACTTTAGGTTGTGATGCATCAATGTATTTTTGACCCGTAGTCCCGGACCACCCGTGCAAAAGAATCATTATTTTGGCTTCACGAGATGAATAGTTTGTGCATTTCCTTTTCACTCTACTTTTCACCCTGACTACAACATGACTGAACAAAAATCCTGAAGTTACAATTTTTATGGAAAAAACTAGTGGTGTTTTTTCTCATTTAAAGCAGTGCATGTTGTAGACATATATGGACAAAATAAGCTCAAAATTAAGAATTAATGTATTACTTTCAATAATTCAATGTGATTATTTTCATTGTGTGAACGGAGGGTTCACCAGAACATGAAAATCAAGTGAATTACCGAGTTGAATGCAATTTTTCATCACTGATATCCATTGAATGCTTGCATGTTCCAACTAATGACAGTTTGTAGCATGCAGTCACAGGTTTCAACTCCTCTGCAACTGTTACCCTCTCATTCTAGTTCATACAGCCTATGTATTCTTGTCACAATGGAGCAGCGGTGTAGGTTTCATTTAAACTTTGGGGGCGAGGAGGGCACTACTCATACCAGTGAGAATATGTGGCACTGGGAATGTGCTGATAAATGGTTATTCAATATGCCAACTCTACTTACACCGAAAACAAATTACTATAATTATATAGTAATTCTAAATAGTCATACTGCCAAGTTTAACAACTCAAAGCTTTCATAACACACTGTAAAAAAAAGTCACAAGAATGCATTGAGTGGGAATTATTGAGGGCAGGGGATTCAGGGCAATTCATACGCCTCCAGACATTGGACGGAAATGACCCCCACACCCCCATATCTAGAACTATGCAATGGAGTCTCTCAAGGGTAACTGTAGCTTTACACTTTGCTATTGCTTTGTTTGCTGCTTGTTAATTTATGCATAGGTTTCCTACATTGGACAACACAGTCTGCTAAAGGCCATTTCAAAGTTGTATGTCAACAAGAGAGCTACAATTGCAGATTCTATCATTGGAACATACAATGCTTGAGTAGCTGGGCATCAGCCTGGACCACTATGGATGATTCAAAGGGTCAAACTAGAGCTATAACAGGGTTAAAAAATGTAATGGCATTATTAATTTAATGCTTTGACAGTCCTAAAAAGAACTATAGTATTCCACAATATTACAAATCAGAAATGAATATCTAAATGTATCTCACTATAGTTGATGATGCTAAGTGTGGTGTATGAGGGCTGGTATTAGGTTCTGCAGGCCACAAGCTCAGAGCCAACACAAAGCCACGCTTCATCCATGAGCTCTTCCATGCATGAATGCTCACACAGAGCTCTGCTGCAGGCACTGGCTTTTGCAGCCTACGATGGCAGATAAGAATGTGTGTGTGTGTGGCTGCGACTGGATGGGGTTCACATTACCCTTTGAAACACGTGCCACTGGGGAACTGTAACCATATGAAAGCGCTCAGCGGTTTTAGAGACAGATTATTCCCTCTCTGGATTCTACGTGTCGCCGGGACAATTGGTGGCCATGCCAGACGGAATGTGTTAAACTGACTTCATTACTGCTAATGAGCTCTAGGTCAGCAACTAAGGGTTTCCTAGACCACCTTAGCAACACCTCACATGCCTCACAGAAAGAACAGGCACACACACACATAAATGAACCACCACATACCAGCAATGGAACAAAAACACTGTTTCCCTAACGCTGCCATACTGGCATTAGTTTGATAAGCAAACTCTGGCAGAAGCTGTGTATGTCTAGGCAATGAAAACTGCAATGTGTGAGGTTGGAAGGTATTATGTGTTGGATATGCTATGCTTTGCAGTGGTGAACCTTGACTATTAGAGCTAAGCTTTCAGTTCAGGCCATAAATGTCAAAACATAGTCAAAAATGAGGAAAAAAAAACTCTCAGATAATACTCATTTTGAATAGCATGTTATTGCTAAGCTAATGTGATTAACATAAACATTTTTTGGCTGTCCTAAATACATACATTTTGAGGTTGTCAAATAAATGTTATGTGTTGTTTAATTACAGACATATTAACATATTGTAACTTTCACCACTAGTAAAGAAGATCCAGTTTATGCGCAAGTCATTGTGCTTTATTAACAGGCTGTAGTTGGCCACAGTTCATAAGTTTGTCTAACAATATACTCTAAACCTTACACTGTCTTGCTTTTTCAGCCTTCAGCATTAGACTGATTCAGTACTTCCTAAACCAACAGAACACAGCACGGGCTAGTTCTGCCTTCACAATAAAAGTCCTTCTTAGAACATACCAGCTAATAAATATTAGAGAAATAATACTCATGCATATCATTCTGAACACACTACAGTATATTTTACCTTGCATGTACCAGTTTTACAGTGACTCCTTGTGTAAAGAGTTCTGGCATAGAGCAACTGACTAAAACATATTGGACAGGTTACAACTCATGTATCTACCACTTTCAGATGGCCAAAAGTGACACCCATTGGAAATCTTGGAAAATTTTCCCACCCATTGGAAAAATTTGATGTGATTTGACTGTTAGGTCCTAATTATGTTAGCGGTAAATATGTTATGTCATATGTTATGTCATATGTCAGTTCATAAACCAAAGTTCTAACCAATGGGAGAGATCACTTGACTATATCTGCATACTGCATAGATGCCATAAAGACAAAAAAAGGAACTGATATATATACATATATGTTTTTTGTATGCTAGAAGTCCTAGAAGGCTCTTTGGATTCCCCACTGGTGTTTTGTTCTAGAGATTGGTAGTAATCAGGAGTAATCAGGCTTAATACAGTGCAAAGCTTTTGTGGCCTGTGGTCAGACAGTGTGTGACCAGACTGATTTGTGCTTCATTTGAGCTCAGAATTGCAGTATTATAGCCCTTTTCGCACTTCAGAGTGATTCTGTTATATTTGGCTAATGTTTCTTTAACAGTAACACAAAGCCGGATTGAGATTTTCTAATGTTTCCATGCACAGCCAGAAATATCTAACTCCATTAATCTTGATTTTGATGTCTTTATACCATCTGTTTCCAGAGGCTTTTTAACACTACATGAACATTTCATGATGAAAAGACTGAACCAGAATTGCTCTTTTCACCTTAAAGGGCCAATATTATGGAATATGATACATACAGGGGAATGAAAAATACATTTGATGTATGTAAATGTTAAGGTTTCAAAAAAACATTCACTTCCCAGTCTATCCAGCCCATTTATAGGAACAGTATGCAAATGCAGCTTGTTTATGTGATGAAACCAATACATTTACATATATCCACCTATTCTGCCTATTCAGACTGTTTTGTGAATAAGGCACAGTACATGGCAGCCAATCAGAACTGAGCACATTTGCATATTGTTGCTCTCTTCAAAATAGCAACTTCATTCATTAAAACAAAAACATTCTTAACTATTAATGTAAGTTAAAGTAAACATATTTTATTTCAAGTTATTCTAGAATATTTCTATTGGTCCAAAAAATCTTGCATGGAGATAGATGTTTGATTGTTTTTTTGGAAAGCATCTTAAAGACACAGCAACAAAAACAGACACTTTAATTTCAATGGATAAAGAGATGTTGGAAAACTTTCATGTAAAAATGAAAGATTATTTTTCGTTTGCAATTCTACAAATACATATGAATTGACCTAAGGGGGAAAAATATGAAAATGTATAATATGGGCTCTTTAACATAAATGAATGTTTTTTTTTCACGTTCTTACAGTAACTGTTTTGGAGATATAACATCAGTAATGACATACTGACTGTTAATAGAGACATTATGTATTTGCATAATATTATTGAATATTCATTATGTATTGCAAGACGTCAGAGGATTTTACTTTCATCGAGTTTTGTGTAATAAACAACTGTCAGTCGGACCAGGGAGTATGGACAGATATCATCTTAGAATTAAACTTTTCTTCAGGCATTTAGAATTGAACTGAGTGTGCTGTTTTTCAGAAAGCCGAGGGGGAGATGATGCCTTGACGGTGGGTGCTTAGACCACAATGAACCAACACTTGCCCTGAGGTCAGACTGGAAAGAATAGTTCACCTGGGCACGTCCCACAGGTAAACACACTCCACACCTGCATTTCACTACTATTACTAGTGATCAAATCAAGTAACAACAAGCAAAGACTTTTACACAGCTTGCAGCTCTGGATTTCTTTAGAAAACATAATTTTGATGCCATTATGGTGCAGGATGTACATTTAGACCTCAGACAGGTACACATGACATTTTAACTGGAAGTAAAACTTTATAGAGAGAATGTTTGAAATTAGCATGTGCTCAAACCCACAACTTTGACAGACAGAAATAACAAAGTAACAGAGGACAGGCTTGCGCCATGCCATCATTACAGTGGAAGCTAGACAGTCAAATCATGCAGATTTCAAGAAAAGAGCCATGACTTTCTGAGCCAGCCTGTCACAACAAAGTCATTGCCTTTACAAGGCCTTTCCTCACCTTCAAAGCGCTTCACAGTCACTCACAGCCTTTGCTTCCTGTTCTGGGTTCTTCTGTAGAGAAAGCATGGCCTACACCCATCTGCACAGGGGTCGTGCATTTGAAAAGTGAAATTCAAAAGCTCCTTTGTGTTTCTGCTGAAGTGTAGATATCCATGGGTAACACCTTATAAGCCCTAGGTTTTTATATTCTTTCCAGTCACATGTTCACAAAGTTTTGAGGGTTAATCCTAATTTTGATGGCTAAACACTTTCTGTCATTGTAAATGCTATAGACTAGTCCAGTGGCTCCCACCGTGATCATGTAATACCCTTGTCTGCACATTTTAGTGTTTTCTCTGCTTTATCATACTCACTTCAATTTAGGAAGAGCAGATTAGTTGACAGTAGGGAAACGACTTCAGGGAAAACACCATAACATGCAGGTAACAGCTCTGTAGAGTTTGGTATTGTGCCTCATGAAATGCACCGATTCAACTCATCAGCTACTTAGCAAGACTTCCATGAGTTTAATTCATGTTAGAGAAGGGAAAATGTTAATCTCCGCAGAGCTGTGGCCTGGAGAGAACCCAGTTTGACACCCTTGTACTACCCATAGAATATTTAGAAAAATGGCTAATAAAGTCTCAGAAGAGGTTCACACTCAGTTCTTCTAAAGTTGGAAAAGATGGTGTTGATATATTTCTTGGGAGTTCACACTGTTTTTTGAAGGGTGCATTTCTCTTTGTTGCTAAGAGTCATAACTGTCAGTTAACTGTGCTAGCAAGTTGTCATTTTGACATGTATAGGCAAAAAGTTTAACTACTGCTATGAACTAGCAAACATAGTGCTGCTAGCTAAAACAAGCTAAACTAAAAAAAACAGCCAGGCAGGGTGGTGCATACAATGTGAGGTGCCTGGTGCACAAAAACAGCACACAAAATGCATCTCTCCTTTTGGAAACAACAGGAAACAACCATGCCGGTCTGCATAACATGTTCTGTAGAACCCTCTTCTTAAGCAGATCTGTGGCTGCTTGCACAAATATTTATCTTTAGTTACATTCTTAAAAAGTACTTCACCCAAGTTATGGGTTGTACTTAAGTGCATTGCATTAAACTTCTTAACTGTTCTTTTCGGTCAAGAGTTATACTTAAGTGTTTTTACAGCACTAAAAAAAAACCCCAAAACAAAACATGTAATTCGTGATATTCCTGGTAACCACAGCAGTCAATCATGTCAAGATAGCTTAATATAGGAATGAGTTAGCCAAGAGGCAATTTGCCCTTGATTTTTTGAAACTTTCTGCATACATGTAGAGAATACCATAATGTAATGTTACACAGTTCACTTGTAAGTATATGTAAGTATATTAGAAATATATTAGATATGTAAGTATATTAGAAATGTAAGTATATTAGAAAACCTAAGGCCAAAATTCACTTCTGCATGTTTTATGCCATCATCCACTGGTGATTACTGGTCATTTGTGGTGATTACTGACTTGTGGCATGTTTTAATTTAGTGTGTCATTTTTCTTCTTGCAGGTCCCGGTGTGCCCATGCAGTGGTCTGTGCTAGCTCTGCTGCTCCTATTCTGCAGCCATACTTTGGCACTGCGATCAGGTGACATCTGCCCGCAGAACAGTAACAAGGAGCAGGATGGCACCAGGACGGCTGACTCCACGCCCACTGTGGACCCCAAACTCTTCAATAAGAGACGATACCGCTCACCTCGTGTGCTGTTTAGTGAACGGCCGCCTGATTCGGACCCTGCAGAGCACCAGGGGTCAGCGGGCACAAAGGGCAGGACGAAGCGACGGGCAGGACAACAGCCCCAGCACCGTGGGGTATATTCGGTGTGTGAGAGTGTCAGCTTCTGGGTGGGGAATAAAACCAAAGCGACAGACATCAGAGGCAATGAGGTAATGGTGCTGCCTGACGTCAACATTAATGAGGTCAAGAAAAAGCAGTACTTCTTTGAGACAACATGTAGCGGGGCCCGGCCCGCGGGCTCAGGCTGTCTGGGCATTGATGGACGCCACTGGAACTCATACTGCACCAACTCACATACGTTTGTGCGGGCATTGACTTCATTCAAGAACTTGGTGGCTTGGAGACTTATTAGAATCAATGTGGCCTGTGTATGTGTGCTCAGCCGCAAGTCCTGGAGACAATGACACTCTGCCTCATCACTACATCCCTTACAATAAGCCAGTATCACCTCACTATAACAGCCCAGTAACATCTGATTGATGTAAATGCTGGTTCTCATGCTGATGTTGTTGGTATGTGTGTGATACCACATCATTCATGAGAACTCACACATGAAATAACAAAGGAGTTTATGAAGAAGGCATTCATTTGATATGCCTCATTACTGTCAGTCATGTTATGGCTTTATATGACTTCATGTCGAGTCATGTGGCAAATATTATAACAGAACGTTTTACTATGCTATTATTTTTCCTGATGGACATGAATCATTCCTGACGACGACAGCATGAGGACTGCATGGATTGTACATATGTTGTTATTGTTATTGTTATTTATTAAATCTGGAGCATTATGTGGTGCACTGAGGTTTAAATGTACAGGCTGACAGAGTTATAGCTCCATATTTATTACAGCACAGTATTACATTATTACCACAAAGGGTCATTGAGGGGTCATTATCAAAGTTTTTCTTGGATACGTGCAGCTTGGGAAAGCCTTTGAAAAATGTGGACTTCCAGATGGCATAACTTGTGGGCTGCATTTCAAAAATGTCTGGTGATTTAAAACATTCCAAAAATGACCAGCACAGATTCAGTTACTCTCCAGGAGAAAAAATGTAAAAGTTAAAGTTGACGTGATGGACTCAATATGGCTAGATCTGTCTCACACCTCTGTCCAGACGGTATATTTCTTGCAAGTATGAGGGAAGTGGCAGTATGGAGATTTACTCAAATATGAAAAATGCTCCATGGCTCAGTAAAGCCAACAATGAGTTTCAATAAGAATCAAGAAGAACTGACCTGTCAATTCCACCCTTTGTCTAGACATCCAATACAAATTCCGAGCATCACAAACATGTGTTTTGCTCCAACCAGGCGTCTGTGTTTGTTTTGGCAATAGGGAGAGGAATGCATATGGGTTGCAGCTTGGTTGGTTTGACCTTGTCAGTGTTGGAAAACCTGCGTGAACAGAAAGGAGCAACACGTCAAAGGTCAGGTTCATGGCCTAATGATGAGGTCATGTCTGAGGGACTGGAATCCTAGGGTTTAGATCAAAGATCAAAGTTCATTTGGACCAACGGACAGGACCATTAACTTTATAGATCACTAATGAGGAACTATGCCAGCTCTTGTTTGTGTGTTGTGATTGGCTGGGTCATCCTAAAGGGCACAGTCATCCATACTATTTCAAAAAAGGTCTCACCCAGAGGAAATTTTTTTTTCTCAAATGTTGATCTTTGTTGACTCAGGCAAGTTAACGTTTAATCTCCTAAAATCCTATAGATGAAATAGCAAGAAGCATGTAGCGTAGCATGAAGGCTGACTTCATATTGAGATTCCTGGTTTAGTTCAGTTACAAATAAAGGCAACTGTTGTTATGTTGACAAATCTGAGCACAATGTGTAACTCTATGGAGATCTCTACTAAAAGAAGAGACATATGCTATTACTGGGGTCTTTTGCTCAGGAGAAATATCAGCATCATCTATAAGCAGCAGAAAACTTAAGCAAAAGTCTACTTTGTCTTCCATCTGTTCTCATAGTTATCTCGGATAAACTATAGAGATGTCAAAGGAATATTCCACTCATTTTTCAAAATTTCTGCGTATTTCAGTTGTTGAGTATACAAAGTCATACAGAGTGGTCTGATGTGAAATGCTCAGAACTGTTCACAGTGGTGGTGGTGATAGGAACCAGATGTCTGAAGAGTTTAAAGGGGAATTGCACTGAGTGTTCAAAGTTTCTGCATAATTAAATCATTAGAAAGTCAACAGTGCTGTCTGGAAAGGTTTGATGTGAATTGCTTTGTTTTCGAGAAACTCCCTGCATCACAATTGTTTCACAGTGGTGGTGATAGGAACCCGACATCCAAAGAGCTTAATGCCTATAGAAAAGCTCCCCCACAGAAAACTAATCCACATCTTTATTATGAATATGCTGCCTGATGCCTGAGATATTGTTTTATTATAGTTTTGAGACCAAGTTTTGGTTAAAAAACATGTTTTTAAAGCCATTCATGGTACATGAAGAGCATTGTAAGGCAAAATACTCCCCAACAGAAAACTTTATTTTTACACTCATCACTATTTTACCATTATCAACATTACATATAAAAGCTCAGAAGATATATGTAGATCAGCTGGTTGTTTTGGGTAGTTAATATGTATATATTTGTGTTGAAGACACAGTGACCCCTGGTTCCTATTACCACTGCAATGAAAAGAAATCTGAGTGTGTAAGCTTCTCTATAATTAATCATTTCACATCGAACCTCTCAAAAAGACTTTTTACGTCTCAGTGTCTGAACTGGGCAGAAATTTGGAAATTAGGTGGATTTCTACTTTAAGAAAATTTCCTATTTGGTTTTATTTTCCTATAGATCATTTTGATGATTCAAAAATTTGGAATTAATGTTTTCAACAATGTGAAGTCAATCTGGTTGCAGATAAATGTATACAAAATAAAATTATACTAATATGCCTGGCCTATACAATTTCACAAGTTTGAAATATTTAATAGGAAGCTTGGGAGTCAAAAAAGAAGAAGAAATGCATCCAGAATGACAAACATAGATAGTTCTAAAATGTCTGACAAAGAATTTTATCATCATTATATAGTATTATATAGCCTTTCAAAAGTGGTGATCAAAGCTCTCTCACATTCATATAAACATCAATCAATACTCATCCAGCCTAGAAGAGCTTTAGGTTATCAATCATTTCAAAGGATCAGGTAGACATACAGCTGTCAGCCACATATCTCATTCTCTTTGATGGCAGCATGAATAATATTCTTTGATTAAAGAGCTACAGGCACAGGATTTCCTGTTCTTTTGTCACCATCCTCTGCAGGACAAAACACTAATTACATCACCGTGTGGGGACATTGTGTGAGATTATACAAAACCTCCAATGGCTTGATTAACAATCTGAGAAATCATTCTTCACAGTCATTTTAAAGAAGATTAACAGCTATGGGGGATTGTTTGTAGAACAGCTCCCCGAGGAAAGAGAGAAAGAGTGAGCTCATTTTGTTCAATGCAGCTCAACATAGAATATTAATGAGATTAATGTGAATTGGAGATTACAGCACCATAAACTATAGAGATTTCATCAGATGATCAGATCATGATAACCAACGGCTCCATATTTACAGTTTACAATGGTAATTATAAACAGTTAATTCCAAAATCCCACCAGACTCAACCTAGACCTCTCACATGTAAGACGTGTGACCCATGAAATGGAAAACCAAAGCACGCTGTCTCCCCCTAGCGGTTGTTTAGCGTATTTGCATTTTTCATGAAAACACATTTCTAAATGTCATTGCCGGATACCAGATAGAGTGAACAGAATTTAGGACCTCAGAATTCACGTGTATATGTGACAACATAGTCCTGTTATTATACAAGCACCGTCATACGCACACTACCACCCCCCCCCCAAACACACACATCACACTTTGCATTTCATTGACTCAGTGGACAACATGATCTGGAAAACAAATATAATATAATATAATATAATATAATATAATATAATATAATACCTCTATATGTATATGATACGCCACTAGGGGGTGACTTGCTCCTGGAAAATCAATGGATTCTCATGCTCAGTGGTTAGTGTTGTTCCAGTTCATCAGGGTATTCATCAGAATCTGGACATACGTTCAGATGCTAAAGTGATTAGTTGCTGTATGACGCAAGAGGATGTTATTATTACATTTTGTTGAATGTGAAGACAGGATTATCTCTTAGCTATGGCAAGACATCATACCGTGGGATGCCCCGAGTGTGACCCCATGCCGTCAGACAATACCGCCTTAGTGTGAAAGTGAGGGCTGACAGTGACTGTGAGTGATGTATTGTTTGGTGAAAGAGAGGAAGAGTGAGAGAATGAGGAGCTCTCTGAGTGTCTGGTCACATGAGAAGACTATGAACCTTTTACTTGGTCTTGAGCGAGATCTGTTCACAATTTAAAAGCAATAAGAGAAATAAAGAGATCCCTTTGTGTCAAACAGACCCACATTAAACAGTGCTGCTCGCACTGCTGAGGGTTTGCTGCTCTGAGGGCAAGAACAGCAGAAGGCAGAGTTTGACACCAAAACAGTCTCACAAATGTAAAAGTGAAAGTGTGAAAGTGAATAAGGGAGGTCAGGGGGAGTTTCATTATGATTTTAGTTGAGGAATATGAACACATGGCCTTGAATATGAGTTAATGGATTTGAAAAGAATACAATTTTAGTTAAATTATCTAAAAAAAACTAAATTTTAAAGTCGTAGAAATGTTAGATCCTCTATAATGAGAAGAGTAATAATGAGTATGAGTGAGTATGCAGTGGTTGGATATGAGAAGGCAGGATGAAGGATAACTTTCCCAGCAGCTTTAAATACTCGCATTTTACATTTTCTTGCTTTTCAGTAAGGGTGAGCGAATCAATACTGCGGTCGATAAGTCTAATTCTGATGCTCTTTTTGCAAGTTGATCCACACATGGAAATATACAATACTTTTTGTTAAACTGAATGTGTCTTTCTTGAAAAAAAGATTATTGTAGAAAAGAAATGTGTAGAATAGGAACTATTTTTGCTTCTGTCAGCTCAGTTTAATACTAATATTAACAGTCTTTTGAAAAATTAAATGTTTATTTTTCACATTTTCTGGTTCTCTCTCTGAGAATTATCATTTTGTGAGCACAAGAAGAGTTTGGTATCAAAATTCGGAAGCTTAGCTTTGGTGTTAGGTGGTGAAATATAATTAGTGGTGTAATCCACATATACATTTCACAATAAGACACTTTCCTGTTATTTCTAGGTCATGTGACCCGCCAATCCAATCATAAAGCACAATGGAGATACTTGCCAGTAAGAGTTAATTTAGCTAAGTATAATGTCGTAGTACTCGAAATAAATATTTAAGCATGTAGAAGAGAAAACAGATGTCTGCACAACTTTCCGAATAGCCTATCAGCCGTTAGAGTCTGTGTTTTAGTGCCTCTCTCAGCCGCCCAGCCCCGCGGAGCCGTGTCTGAGGCCCCGCCCTGCTGCAGGCCGGTGGGCGGTGCTGCTGCCGCCAGGGCGCGTTAAACTCGGAGCCGTTTTCTGGAGAAGGACGCTGCTTGTTTTGGCTACACGTTCACGATCAAATATCCTGAGTAGCTGCTCATTCAGCTCGACCTGGAAAATTACTCTGTGATATAAAAACACATTTTGGTCGGAACGGAGGACGCGCACGGCGGAACCACTGGTAAAATGAGCAAAGTGCAAGGCGGCATGAAATGTGTAAAATACCTGCTTTTCTTCTTCAACTTCATCTTCTGGGTAAGTGTGTCACTCGCTTAGATATTTGAAGATTTCATATCAGATTATTTGGGTGGTTTCCACTCGTCTAGGTGGACTAGCACCAACATGCCTTACAGCAACGTTTTCACATTCATTTTCTCAGAAATTCCTCTGGTTTACGGTTTGCTAGCGGGCTGCTGCTGCAACTGGTGCACATCAGCACCATGAGGCTCGTATGTTTGGACCGTATGCTCCAATTTAGCCTCTGGAAGCATTTTCCCTCTACTCAAGAACTGAAAGATTTGTATTCGCCTTTTTATTGTTTAATGATCTAATTAGAGCTATAAAATCATTCATCTTTCCGTGATGCTGGCTAGCAACAGTGTATTGTCTATTGTCTTGATTGTTTTGCTAGTCAGTGAGCTGCCAGCAGTGCAGTAGTAGGTGGTGTAATAGACTAACACTGAGGCAGGTGGAAAGTAATGGAAAGAGGGTGACAAACCCGTTGGTGCGTTGTTCCTTCGTGATGTGAATGCTTTGCATTCGCTGTGAGGGGCTCTAGTTCTGTTTTAACCAATTTTAAGTGGCTATTCACATAGTTTGTGACAGTTGGTGGATCAGTTGTGGTGACAGGTGGTTCAGTGGCTATAGTGGCATATTATTCTAGATGTGTGCGTCTTATTTGGCTGGTTTGGGCTTTAGTGTAGGGCTGGGCAATATGACAGTATCGTTATCGTGATAAAATGTCTCAATGTAATTTTTTTGTTAACATATTGTGGATATCGTCAGTGCTCGTAGAACAGTGACTAACTCCATGTTTCATTATAAAGAGAGCAAAATTAGTCCTGTTTAACAGGATTTAGTGCAACACAATATGCAAAATATTGAAAAAAAATTGAATAAAAAAGTTGAATACTTAATATTATTGAGTATTGAATAAAAAGCCTCGTATTCTTAGTTTGATAGTGTTTTTTATGTAGTGATACTGTTTCCTTTTTCTCTCTTTCAGCTGACCAAATGTTATATTTTTGCCACATCACACACCTCCACTTTAATATATATATATATATATATATATATATATATGTATATGTGTATATATATATGTATATATATGTATGTGTGTGTGTGTGTGTGTGTGTTACAGATACATTATACATGCACGTACACACACACATACATACATATATACAGAGATACTAAAGTAGAGGTGAGCAATATATATATATATATATGTATATATATAATATGTGTGTGTGTGTGTGTATATATGTATGTATATATATATGTATGTATGTATATAAACACACACACACACACACACACACACACACATATATATATATATATATATATATATATATATGTATATATATATATATATAATTCATAGAGAGAAACTTTTTGGTTTGTGACCCTGAATCAGGGCACTCTTTCTAGTAGAACTGCAACAGTAATGAAGATCGATAGACGGCCATCAGTTTGTTGAAACATTTCCTGCCTATTCCCCAAGAGTTTGTCATTTTATTATGAATTGCCTGAGAATGAGTGCATTTATAAGAAATATAACAAAAATCTGGTAAATAGAATGTCATGTCTCCTAAATGTTTTCGTTGTAGTTGCACATAACTGCATGCAGGATTGTTTTGACAGTAGGGTATTTTTTCCTTATCAGTTACATCCAGGAAGGCCTCATACCAGGGTCTTGTTTGGGTTTTTCCCACTTCTTTATTTCCAAGACTGTGCAATGTCAACTGAGCAAACCATGAAACTGCCCTTTAATCTTTTGAAAGGCTACAGAAACTGAAATGTCTTGTATTTTATTGCCCTAGGCAATAAATAGAAGACATAAGTATTACACTGAGACTCTTTACAGCACATCTTTATCTCATGCAGAAAGGCAGATGGTAGAAAGGGCAGTTATCCTCTGAAATGTAAGGTTACACTTTGAGCTTCTGAATCATGTTTGAGTTGAGTTGTTGTCAGACAAACATCTGATAGATGGCCCAGGACATTTGTCAATTAAATAAAATTTTTATATTAATATTTGTTATTAAATGCTGATATGCTTTAATGTTCACAGTAGCAGAATAAAAATGTTGGGTTGCATAGATTTTTTTGTATCTGTTTTATCTGTTTTGACTTCGCCTCAAGATACTTAAGATAACTTCTTGTTTCACATTCTTGCTTACTATCAGGATGCAATCTGCAGACATTTAAGAGAAGTTTACCAAATGAGCATCTAGTTTTCATGACTTTTTCTTGTAGTATTGGCCTAGTGCCGGTTGGAAGTCTCCTGAAATTGATCAATGTTTAATGGTGGTAGTTTTAAATGTTTAGTCAACTTAGGCAAAAAGACTAGCAGCGTGAAGTGGTCCTATTGCTGAATTAATTATAATAGACTACTTGCTAGTTATAGGGTACTGTGAGGCAGAAAGACACCTTTAATCAAGTAAGAAACAGCTTTCATTTTGCTTGTGAGCGATGGAAACTTCATGGTTCATTTCAGAGCAGGTCCACTGGAGCTTTGTCACACTTCTTTGCTTCAAGCTAAAAAGGGGTTTCCATTTAATCAGCATGTATTACTGGAATTCTTGTTTCCGAAGTAACGTTTCCTGTCCAACCTGGCCCTCTGCTAATATTACAGAACTACTGTGAATATGGTTGTGCACATAGTTTCGCATGCTTCAGAAAGAAGTAAAGAGTGATGGAACTTGATAAGATGTTTGCCCTGGAAAGTTAACTTTGAAAACTTTAGAGGTAGAGCTGAATGATTTGGGGAAAATATCTAATTGCCATTTTTCTGACCATTTTCTGACCAGTTGTGATTTAAATGTGATTATATTCTAAAAAATTAAGCTTTTCTTTTTGCCAAGAAGATCAGCACATCCATTTTTTGGGTTTGAGGCTTGAACCTTGAGTCTACCATGTCAGACTGCCGATTCACAAGCTCTGCGTTATGAGGTTAAATTTCTTCATCTAAAACTTGTTAAGACAAGGTGGGATATAATTAAAAATTACAGCTTGTGTGATGCATTTGAGCTTTCAGAGGAAGAGGAGGTGTCTTCACGTTTGTGTGTGAGCAGGTGATGTTTTTGGGGTGACTGAGAGTTTTTTACAGTACTGTGCAAAAGTCCGAGGGTACACTTCATTCATGTACTGTTCAGTCAAATGGCCATTTAGTACCAAGTTCATCCTTTTAAGGAGATATTTCTGAGGAGATTAGACCTAAAGTAATCTCGCATAATATCAGAGAAAGTCACATAATAACAGAAATTCATAGGAAACCACAGTTCATAGTGAAAAAGCAGTTCAAAAATTATTTAAAGATATAGAAAATGAAAAATTGCAGCTATTGCCATTTGAAAATAACACTCTTTGCAGTTTAGATAAAGAAAATTATTAACCGTTCAGCCCCATCTGGAGGGCATCAGTGCTGTTACAAAGTTAAAAGAGGAAAGCTTAGTCTTTTTAACTTGCTGTGCTATCTGAGTCATATAAAGGTGTTTATATGTAAAGATGTCTTTCATTAATGTCTTGTTCAGTTAGGCTGATGACTTGGAAATTGTAAATTGTAAACAGTTTCATTTATTGTCATTATATCATGTAATTTGTGATTTCATTCAATTTTAGTTTCATTGTCTAAACAGTTTCTCATATGTCAAAAAAACTTTGTGAAGACCATTCTTTTGCAGTTTCTGCACACCCCACTCTTTCTGGTGTGATGGTTCTATCATTGCACTAATAAAGTGGTCAAATTAGATCTGCTCAAGTGGTTAGCATAAGAATACTGTAATGAAGGGCACAGTGGCTGCAGTCATTGGTTATCTGTGGAGTGGTGTCACCGCATTGGACAGCGAAGCCTTTGTCTCAGAATGGACAGGCAAAGAAGTGGACTGTTGTGTCAGACGCTTGGTGTAGTAGCTGGGAGGGGTGGGGGCCTGGGCACGGTGGGGATTTGAGGGGACAGTGCCAGGGCATGGAGGATTCCAGCAGAAATGACGGCAGGCCCGTGAGACTGGCACAGCCTGCCTGCTGATCTCAGCAGTGGGGAGTGGTAGGTTGACTATCATGGGACGCAGGGTTAATATAAAGCTTTAAATGAGCTCTTCACCATATTTTGAGAATATTGCACTTGGTTATTTGCTTTGTGACTAATCAAAAAGACGTAAGAGTCAAAATATTCATAGAATCCTGTATCTTCAGTTTCAGACTGACAAAAAAACAGAAGCATATTAGGCCAAAATCACAGTCTAAGTCTTTGTCCAAATCTCTCCCTTTTTAAGAATAAGGAATTGATATGTTGAAGCGTTGCAGACAAAACCTAAATATGAACTTGCCTGCCTGTCAAATATACTTGGGTCAAGAACACGTGTTTTGAAAAGCTGCTCAAACCCTTCCATGGACAGACTAAACAAATCTGGGCTGGAATGACGTTTTCTTTGCCGTTCTATTAGTGGAACTTGGCAGAAAACCTTGAAAACTAATGACTGCTTTGGCAGCTCCCACTTTGTGGTTCCTTTGGTAAATTGCTCTCTAAGAGGTTAATGGAGAAGTAAGAGGTCTGAAGACAAACTTAACTCCACTGTTTGTCATTGGTATCCTTACAGAAGGACAGATGGCTGTGTTTAGACAGTACAACACAGATCTTTATCATACAGCGTTTCAATCAATGGGCTGTCTTAGCCGAGGATATCCCATTGGGAACCTAAACAGGCAAATAAAGTTGCAAAGTGTTCAGTTCTCACAAAGTCACAAAGGGCGCTTGTGTGTAGACTCTTAAAGCAAAAAGCAGCAGGTCAGGCCATTTTGGGATAGCCTGTCTGTGGATGCCTTTTTGGTTTAAAGTTGGTAGGACAGATTATGTTTTGCCTCATGACTTATTTAGATGTGTACTACATGCACAGCAAATAAATGCAGCAGAAAACAAAGATGTCACAACCTCCGTGTCACTGGCATTCATGAATATTTCACATTTTTGCCCAGTTGTCAGGTTCACTGGTGTTGGCGGTGGGATTGTGGCTGAGGTTTGATCCCAATACATCCTCACTCCTGAATGAAGATGGAGCCCCTGAAACTTTCTTTATTGGTAAGTAGCATACAGTATTTACAGGTTACCAAAAACATAGTTCTCTTAGGCATACTTTGTGTAATGTTTTGGGTGTATATTACTACACTGTGTGAAGTGTAGTATTATGATCTCTATCAAGTGTAACCTGTTTTTATATATCTTTTTAAGTTCATTCTGGATTACCTATGATTTGAGCATACTATTATAGATTTAAGCACTATTCAAGCTGGATTAGTTTAGCTGGGGGAGGTTCTGTAATGTAATTTGTAAGGGATTTAACTGGCCAGGACTTATGGGATAAAGTATCTGTGTAATGTCCAGCTCCAGCCCCCCCTGCAACCCAGAAGGATAAGTGGTTTAGATGATTGTGTGTGTGTGTGTCTGTGTGTGTCTGTGTCTATGTATGTGTGTGTGTAATATCCACAAATCGCTAGAGAAACCACAGACTAGCTCCCTAAGTGAGACTAATCCAGCTCGAATAGGGGTTTAGTTACCCACAACTCTCACACTGATTTCCATAATGATGTCTACACCCAATGCAGTGTAATGCAGTGAAGTAATTTCATGGGTTAAGTACGCTCCGGTATCTGTTCTTCATATGTTGTTCCACATCTTACTGATTATATCATTCATTAGGAGGAAACAATAACCTTCCACTTTAGATACCTGATGTCCTTTTTGACCGAAACTGCAAGGGTGCATGGTCAAAACACTGTATTCTCTTAGAGCTGATGTGCTTTTCCTAATTTTTTTTCAAGTTAGAAATGCAAAGCTCTATCACTGGCAGTCTGTTCCACAACATCCACTGACAGACTTTAAATGCCTGATGTTATCAGCACTCTTAACAGCAGAGGACTAATTTTTTGGCAGTAACTACATCATGAACTGCTGATGAATCATGAAGAATCAGGCCTATATAAAGCGTTGCCTGATCCACAGGCTTTCATAAAAACTGGCTGCGATCTCTGTAATGGGGGATGGGGAGCCAATATTGGGCTCGGTCGTGACGAATGAGGGAAGACACTGATAACTCCTGCTAATGGCTAAAGGGTGTTTCTCAAAGGAGAAAGCATGTAGCTGTGTCCTGTGAGTTAGAATGAGAGCATTTTCTTTTCAAGCCCAGTCTGCTCCCTTTAAGGACTGACCCGGTGAGCAGAGCAGTGGGTTTCTGTCCTCTCACCTCATTAATCTTGATCTGATGGCCATTAACTTACAACTGCATATATCTGTTAGGGTAAGAATTTGGGCAGGGGAGACTGGTGACCTGCTCTAAAAGAACAGTTTTACCCGCAGATGAATTAGTAAAGCTTCTGCAGTTTATGGCACTGGATGCAGAGAGACACTTGCACCTTACTCTGGGGTGGAAATCTTTTAGAATTTTTTTAGTTAATTTATGAGTGACGTTGGCAAGATTGGGCCCTTAGGGTGTCACACTTTGGAACAGGTCATACTGGAACTTTGTTTATTTGAATATTGCTTCAACTAATTTAAGCGTAAATTTTACTTGCTTGCAACATCTGGAGCTTTCAGAGGAAGAGGAGGTGTTTTAGGATGAGTTCATGGTGTTTTTTGGGGTGGGTGAGGGTTTTTACAGTAAAGTCAGACTGTCACACTTCATTTATTTCATATTTAGTCAGAATGGCCATTGAGTATAGTTTTTTTCATGTTAAGGATATTTCTGAGGAGATAAAAGTACATGAAATACATGATGTAATTTTGCATAATGAAGGAGAAGGTCAAAGTGAAAAACACAGGAGTTTCCAAAACTGGATTTTTAGGAATTTTAACAACTGTACCAGACCTGATGGACTGCCAAAACTGTCACCATCAGCACTCAAAGCTTTCATCTTTGAGAGAGGAAAAAATCAAGCTCCACTCTTACTTCAGATCTGAAACATCTACATGTTTCTGTCCACCCTTCCACTGTGAAGACAACTCTACGCTGAGTCTGAAAGGAGGCATAGCTGTTAAGCAGTGGTTACTGAAAGAAGAAAACAGATAAAAAATGTTTTTGAAAATTAAACAAAGAAGCTGATAGTGTTCTCAACAATGGATTGACCACTCATTAGTCCAGACCGTATCATTGAATGTGTTTGGGATTATTTGGATTGTGAGAAGCAGAAAATGCCACCAACTTCTAAGAAGTTGGTGTGAAAAAATATCCCTGTAGTTTTTAACTGAAAAACTGAGAACAAGTCTCATGTAAGGAATGGAAGCTATAATAAATGCAAAGGGTGGATGCACTAAATACTGAAAGAAGGTATATCATATTTACTTGTTGAGGCTTATGTGTATTAAACATGTTTCTGTGGTGTTTTTTTTATTTTTTCCTAACAATAAAAAAAAATTACAGGAACTTGATGGTTATTTAGACTAGAAATAATTGAAGCATGGTCTCTGAGTTTTTCACAGCACTGTATCTCAGGACAGGAAGAAATAAAACACGCTAGCTGCATATTTGGTGGATCTTGAGATACTCTACAGAGGAAGTATTTGTTTAGATTCTTGCTGACTCTTTGAAACACTGTTGATCCATTGTTTGTGTGTTAAAACTGCAACGACTTTTCTCGTAACTGTTCTGTTTTTAGCACAGAAGAAGCTGAAACAGTTACTGACTCAAAAGCAATTTTGCTTTAGGTCAACTACATAGTATAATCACAGCTTTTTTCATGACCTGTATCTCATAACCTTGCCTCCATTGTCTCTCAAATCCCAAACTAAAATTTTATTGAATCGATTACCTCTTACATCATCAAATGCACCGAGCTAACACACAGCGGCTTCTTAGGCTTAGCTTGACCTGATGTGTGAGTAGGAGGTTTTCTTCACTGCAGTGATGCAATTGGAATCTGTGTTCTGACCATTCTACACCTCCTTGATAGTGAGCTTGCTTTCTTTTTCTGTTTGCTCACTCTAGCATTTAAGAATAATTTAATGATAGAGCGAGCACCACACTGGACACTTTCTCTACCAGTTAAGATGATCTTAAAACTAAGAATCTTATGGGACACTAGGCCCTGTTTGTCATCAGATTCATTGTGTGTTACTGTTCAAACCTGAAAAATGACAATGTAGCATCTAGGACCCAAGGTCAGTTTTATGGAAAGACTAATCCTCTTTGTTGTATCAGTGTACCAGCTTGCTCTCATGAGTAATTATCACTGTTCTTAAATAAAAGTATGGAGTTTCATTAATTATTTAGGTTTGAAAATGATGTATGAAAATGCACATCACAGGCTGAGTTGCAGTAATCGTTTACAACACAAAATGTGCTGGCACAGCCATGCTGGCCTGCTGATTGCTAACTGTGGTTCTGTTCCACTGAAATATTGCGGTTACTGTGTAAATATGATCAGAAGTTGTATTACCATTTGAAAGAATGGTAGGGACTGTGCCAAGCAAGAGAGTTCTTCCACAATGATGCACAGTTCCTCTCAGGTCACTGTCTTTCTCTTTGGTCACTTTTGTTAGCTCATGACCTCATGCAGTTATTAAGGCATGTGGGAGTTGGTCATTTCTGTGGAACACACACCTACCACATGTTTTCACAGTTAAAGACCTCTGCATTTGGTTATTGCCAAGGGAATCAACAGAAACGTCTCCGTCTGTTTGCAGTGCAGTGCTGTTTATCTGAAACGCACAAGCAGTGTTTATATAGGCTAAAATGGTGGCTGCTTCTACTGGCATGTTTTCCGTCCCTGTGGCAGTCAGCGAGAAGAGAGAAGAACAGGGGCCTCATGTTTTCTGCTTTAGTCTCCTCTGTCCTGTGTGAAGGAAAACAACAGCACAGTGCCTCCCCTGGGTTTTAATTAGACTAGAGTGTGAAGTGGCTGAAGTTCTTCCTCAGCTCGAATGGAACTTGGGGGGGGAAATGACTTTGCTGCTTTTTCACACATACCCGCTAAGCTCTCCTGCCTAAGCTTGATTTGTTGGAAAACAGAGGGCAAGAATGGGCAGTGTTGTCGTGTTGGGGCTTCTGTCTCAGCTAATAATAATTCAAAATAGGGCTGCACGATTTATCGTCTGTTAATCATAATTGTCTTTGAAATACTGACATTGCAGAAGGCTCTAAAATGAAAATGACCCTTCTGATGAATCATAATTTTTTTTTTTTTTTGTAAGCATTTTGACCAATTTAGCGTCTTTGTGGGTCTTTTGCTAAACAGTGTTTTGCTCAAAAAATGCAAGCTAGTCTTTAACCAAGTCATGTTTTGTTTCACCAGTGTCTTTTTAATATATTCAAGCCATAACGTGGTCACACTATGCCGCAGTATAATTGTGATGCTAATGTCTTGTACTCCATGTCGTGCAGCCCTAGTTCCTAATGTAAATTTATTTGGCTTGAGTAGAGACTGCCCGAAAGGAAATTTTTGCAGCACCTATTTTTAGGTGCTAAAATTTCAAATAACCAGTAATATTGGTTGATATAATTGTATATTTTACTTTTATTTTCTAATACTTAAAGACTCACAGTTAAAATAATATGAATGTTGTTAGACTAAGAGTGAGGCTATATAGAATTCTTTGCAGTTGTGGTTTCTGTTAATCGCCACTTTTTTTTCACTAGTTCTTTTTATAGAAAAAGGGTTTTATTTTACATGTTATTCTCATTTCAAAAAGGTTATGTTGGGATGTGTTTTACATGTTTTTGTCATTTTTAACTATGATTGTTTTATGTTCAGCTTTACCAGCTCAGCCTCTATTGCTGTAATATAAACAGGGGGTATAAAATAATGGAAACGCCATATTAAATACTCAGTCATTGGTCATTTTATCAGGTCCATATACTCTGTATTATTAATTTATCCATCGCTCTCTACCTTGCTCGTCAATAGAAAAAGCACTACCATAGGACTTACGGCTAAGATATTATTTGTGTACTGGACCATTCTTGGCACAGCCTGACATGGTTGTGGCGTGGTAATGAGGGTTGCGTTGGTATGAGTGTATCAGGCACTGGGGTTCATAAACACCTCAGTGTCACTGCTGGATTGAGAGTAGTCCACTAACCAAAGCAACCAGCCAACAGTGGTCTTATGGTCAGAAACTGACCACTGATGAAGTCTTACCACAGACTAATATGCCAGCGTCACTGCTGTCCCGAGAATGATCCACCACCCAAATCACATCCGATTAGTGGTGGTCCTATAGTGGTCCATTTCCATTGATAAAAGTGGGGCTGATAAACTATGCAACAGGTCATCTACAGACAGCAACAGTAAGTCTACAAAGTGCACCTCTTTGGTAGTTGTACCTGATGACATGGCCAATGAGTGAGTATTTTATGTACTGTTTCTATTATTTTGTGCCTCATATTAGGCTCCCTAGTGGCACAATGGTCTGAGGTTTTGCCTAGTCATCTGGAGATCATGAGTTAGAATCCTGTCAACACTGTGCATGTTAATTATCTGCGCCTTATTGGCAAGTTATTTTCACTGATCCTGATTAAACTGTCAGTTTACAGAATTATCTGATATTATCAGCTAACCAATCTATTGTTCTGGCTCTAGTAGAAAATTGTGCATTTACATCGAGATAAACTTTATATCCTGTGTTGTTGTTATTCCTTATGTCAGTATTAGCTTGTCTTTTTTTTCCTCACTTATTATGAGTCTAGTTTGACTCTAATGCTGTGTATATGGTGGCAAGGGAATAGAGTTTGTCACTAGGGTGATGATTCCATCCTAGCAACAGCATCCTCGAAAGAGCCGAAAGAGTCATTTGAGTGTCCTCAAAAGAGTCATACTCTTGAAGAGCAGACTGTGGAAGAGCAGACTCTTCAGATACTCTTTTGTGGCCTGTTCTGGCCATGGGGAATAGTTGCTATGGTGGATCCTATCACTAACATTGTAGGGAGGGAGGGAGGACCTGAATATAATGGTTTGTCCCTGAGGCTTGACTTCAGTGAGAGACTTAAATTACAGGCATATAACCCACCTGCACTCATGTTGTCATCCGGGTGGCTTGTTTCGTTTTATAATAGCTCTGTGATAACAAATGTAGCGGAAATGGAAGTTTGCAACAGGTGTAATTCCTAAGCATAAATAGACAGAGTGAATATAAATTTGGGCTTAAACATTGGAGTTCCCTTTGTAAAAATATCAGAGAGTAAAAATGAAACTGTTGGGGATTTTCCCATGACCTATGAATAAAAGCCCATTTCCTCAGTTAAATCAGACTGAAACAAAAATTTGTATAGCTGGAATTTATACAGTTGAATCATCCGCTTAATTTGATACGCACTAAAGAAAACCTAACCTCTTTAGTTTCTGTTTTGTTGTTGGTATATTTCATACTGTATGGGGTTCATCATTGCACTGGACATGTTTGTATACTTGCTATATGCCGTTACTTGTTGGTTTATGCTTGACATTTCTTCTGTATCTTTTTCCTTCAGCACAAATTGAATTTTTATGTGCCCAGGAAAAAAAAGAAACTAAAAAATGGTGGTGTGATGAATATCAGGGGGCTAGTATGTTCCATACTGTAATGCCTTGCTTAGTCTCTGTTAAAAGTATGCCATGGAAGTTTAGGGTAAATAAGATTAGCATTTCAGCTCAATGCAGATGTGTTGGCCGCATTAGGTCGAGTGTGTTGTGTACACAAAGACCAGTTTGTTTATGCCGCTCTTTGTCTGTGAGGGTTTTTTACCTCTCTGTAATGGCAATATGTACAACAGTAGACTCCCTCAAACCCACAGCACCTTTGGGAAAATGCAAAGCAATGTTAAACCAACAGATTAACTGCTTTAGGCCATCTGTACTTTTTGTTGGTTTATCTGTCATGGGGAAGTACCTGATGTTCACACTGAAACTCATTTTGACTGTTGGGAATCATGTACTAAATGTATAAGAAAGCAGTTTTCATTTTTATTCAGCTCACCACAAACACCTGGGCCTGGCACTGTATGTAATGGAACATGTTGCCAGTAAAAGTAGCCAGATGGCTTTTGTTCCCCTTTTCTGTTTCTGTAAGAATGCTAATTATCCTGAAGGACTGACCCTGAGACATTGCTACAAGAGTAAAAGTTAACTGTTTGTAACATGAATAAATGGATAATATTGTCTTTCTGTTTTTATTGACTCTGAAGACTCATTGATGTCGGTGTCAGTAAAGCAAATGAAGTGAAATGCACACGTCTCTGTGACATCAACACAATGATTTATGTCCTTATACCGCCCACTTCTGGTGATATGCTGAATTGCAGGGTTCAAAGTTCAGCTAAAAATGGCATCTGCCCTTTATGCCATGTCAAAATTTCCTGACAAACAGACCAATAGAACTTATCACAGGTATGTGTGTATATATGTATATATATATATATATACAAAATTACTTGTAAAAAGTAATATGGGCGGGCAGAGTTTGGTTCCATTGACTTAAATTAAAAGTAAGGTAGGTTTTTTCCTTCTCCTGTAAAGTTACCATTTTGGAGTTACATATGTATGAGAGAATAGTTTTGGGAATTTCTGTTCACTTTCTGTACTGGCCAAATGGGAACTTAGCAGAACTCTAATAAGGTTTCTCTGCTTTCTTTCTAGCTGTGTACATTTTGATTGGGGCTGGAGGCATTATGATGCTGGTGGGCTTCTGCGGTTGCTGTGGGGCTGTGAGGGAGTCACAATGTCTTCTGGGATCGGTGGGTAAGAGCTGCGTACTGCTGTACCTCTGTGTCATCAAACACACTATTTTCAAATGTAATGTTGATTGCTGGGGAACCCCTGTCTGTCTGTCTCTCTGTCCTTTTTGTCTCATTAACTCATTCTCACTGTTGGAGAGTTATTGTATAGATGCTAATGATTAAAGGTAAATGTGACCTCTCTCTTTGATCTGTAGTTTTTTGCCTGTCTTCTGGTGATTTTTGGTGCAGAAGTTGCTGCAGGAGTTTTTGGCTTCTTGAAAAAGGACAAGGTAATACACTCACTGTGTGAATCACCAGTTGTATTATTTAGAGTCTAAATACTAGTATCAGCAGGTGTTGGTCTGCCTAATGCTGATTATTATTTTTTTTGTTTCAGGTTATCGAGGAGGTCACAAATTTCTACCGTTCCTCCATTGCAGAGTCTAGCAACAGCACCTCCATCATGACTATTTACCACAAAATTGTATGTACTTCATTTTGATTTATAATGTACTGCCATAAAAAAGATCAGCCAATATATCTATCTATCTATCTATCTATCTGTCTATCTATCTATCTATCTCTCTATCTATCTCTCTGTCTAATTTATATAAATATTATTTTTTTCCCGTTTACAGCTTGAGTGCTGTGGGGATCCCAGTCAAAACATGGAGTGTCCGAACTCTGAAACTAAGGTACAATTGTGTTATTTTTTTTCTTGGTTTTATTATTGATTTATTCCAATTAACACAAGTCCTCAAAGCTACTTAAAATGTCATATGTTGCCACATTGTGCATGTTGGGGTGGTGTACCTTATGTCCCTTTAAATGCTCAAACGTCATACGTCTTGCTCAGTCCAGTAGATGGCAGTGGTAGCCATATTATGTTCAGAGGAGAGTGACAAGGCATGGAAAAGGCTGGAAGGGAGAGGCTACTAGAGAGGAGGGCAGAGAGAACAGTAGCATGTAATCAGCAGTGGGGATCAGAGGGAGAGGAAATAAACAGTAGGGAGGTGTTTCACCTGTCACTTGATCCTCTAAACCCAGAGGGACACAGAGGCGCCAGAGTTTTGTTTATAGCAACTTGGCAGAGACTTTGATCGGCCGCTAAAGATGATGTCGCCATGCCTAAATCCTCAGTTAGTTCTTCATAATTAGCACCATTACACAAAGTATTAGAACATGGTTAGGATGGAGGAACATATTAATCTGATATGTATAACTCACCAGTAACTTACCAATCAGTTACTTGAACTCCATGAACTTTTTTCTTGTTTTGTAGGACTGTATCACAGCTATAAAAGACTTCTTCAATGAAAAACTCTTCATCATTGGATATGTGGGTCTTGGCATTGCAGGTGTTATGGTATGTAGATGAGGCTGTTTTACTTAATATGTAATATAAAATTGATGCTGGGACCTTTTCTTGGGACCAGTCTTTTTTATTATTATTATTGAATGTACTTTCAGTGTGTGTTTTTTGACTTTGTATTTATAAATTATTAAAAAATATAAAAATTTGTGCAAAATCAAAAGTGTAAAAAGATGTTTAAAAAGCTAAATTGATAGGGACAAAACAAGTTATTAAACAGTACTCAAATGGAAAAGTTACAGAGCCCGAGCAAAGACCTTAAACATCCCTGTCAGTTCAGTTGGTTTGATTACAACAGTCTACAGGTGTGCCAGACAAGATTTCTATGAGACTAATAATGAGGGTAAAAGAGAAGCCAGCAGTCACTTTGAATAGATTTGCAGCATGACCTGAAAGAAAAAGGAACCGTATTTACACTGAAACAATAGGCATTGAACTGTATCACAGTCATCTTCGTTTGTATGCTCCATGTATACCTCATCTGCTCAAATGTGAGCGAAGAGATGCAGTTCTAATATCTGCACACAAGCATTTAGACAAATCAGATCTCTTTTGGAACACTGTACTCTGGTCAGACGAAACATAAATAGAACTATTTGGCAATAATTCAGCTCATCGCATTTTCAGAAAGAAGGATTTAGGCATGACATGAAACATGAAGGGAGCGATTTACTAGAGAGATATTAGAGGAGAATTTCATCTTCTCAGCCAAGAAGAGTGAGAAAATGGCGAGGTTTCAATAAGACAATGATCCTAAACATGCAGACAAAATAACTGAAGACTTGTTCCTAAGAAGGTGAAGGTGCTCGCATGGCCAAGACAATCTTCTGATATGAATCCCGTTGAAAATTTATGGAGAATTTTGAAATTGCGAGTCCAACAGAAGGATTCTTGTATGAGGAATGGAAGACTGTTTGCCAGGACAGATGGGCCAAAATTGAACCACAGTGCTGCAAAAAGTTAATTTCTTCTAACTATAGATTTCTCAAAGTTGTAATCGCCAAAAGTGGCTTTGCAAGAAAGTACTAATGTTATTTGTTTGTGGTGTATGAATACTTTTTTCATACGTTTTTTATTTATTTATTTTTATTCAAAAGATATTTGTAAATTTTGACGTGGATATAAGCACTGGAAGTATATTAAATGACAAAAATGGTGTCTGGATGAGCAAACGGGAGATGTTTTGTTTTTATCTGTTTGTTTGTTTTGTGGTTTTTGATGTGTTTCCATTGTAACATACTTTTACTGCTTTCTTAATGCAGATTATTGGTATGATCTTCAGTATGGTTCTATGCTGTGCTATTCGGAACAACAGGGAGGTCATTTAAGTGCTTACAGGCCCTCTACTTCAGCTTGGATGTCTCCAGTCCACCTTTTGACCACATCAAGCCAACACTGATCTGATTTTGAAAGCGTGATAAGATACTGTTTCAATTTTCTGATTTTATTTTTGATATATAATTCTATTCATTGTTAGGGCTGGACCACCATTGCATGGATTGTCCCTGAAATCACATTAACCTTTGGCCTTATTTTGCTGTACCTCGCTTATCTGAGAGACCTTGCATAATTACAACTTGATTTTTATGGGCAGTCTATAAATTACAGAGCAAAGGATATTCAGCAAAAGTATGTTATTGTCTTTGTTTCCAGTCAGCCCTCTATGCAGTACATGGGACTGCTAATGTAAATATTGTATGTAAAGTAAACTTACTCATGCCTTTCTGTTCATCAGCTACTTATAATCTTATCTTATTTATTGCATAAATCCTCTCTCTGTGGTAATCTGTTGATTTTAGTGAGTAAAGCTCTATAAACGTTTAAACTGTTTGCATGTGATTAATGGTCACCCTTGTCAGGAACCACGAGTCCAAGATGATGGATTGTAAGATCTCTGTTCTAAAAAGAAACCAAGGGTACAGTATTTACTTGCGTGACCATATTCTGTCCACTGACATGCAGATCTGCCATCTGTCACTTGCAGTACAGTGTGTAAACCTTTTAACTGTCAAACTGTCAATGCTTATGCTTAATGACTTTAACCTGTTTAAGACCTCTTCCTACTACCTTCCCTGGTGGCCTGAGTAATACCTCCTTATGGAGTGAGGAAAAATTCATTTAATATCAAGGTGCAGTTCTCCTGCAAGGAAAAGTTCACTGGTGCACATCACTGTAATATAGTCTAAATAAGGTGCTCCATGATTGATGAGAGTAATATCAGTACGCCTCCTGTAAGGTTTCATAGCTTCCTGATAGTAGTCCTCTTATTAATATTCACATGAGCACAACTTTGGGGTTGACTGATACCTCTCTGTGCCTTTGACCACACCTTCAGAAGGGCACAAGCCTTTTGTCTGGGCTCTCCTGTCTAAGCATGCTGTGAATGTGATCTGTAATTATAAACAAATGTGTACTTGTATATTTTGTGAGTTTGGGATTTCTCTTAGAACATGTTTTGAATTTGTTTGGATCATACTCTACTTAAAGCAAAGCAGTAGGTATAGACGGTGTTTGTGAATTCTTTAAAAGGAAAGTGACCTACAGTTTTCATAGCATGAATTTTGTATTAGTCTCTAAATATAAACTGCTTTGAAAAAAATAAAGAATTGTTCACACAACTTTTTCCACAATTCTTTTGTATTTATTGTTTTGCAAATGTGCATCACAGTACAACATGAACTAATACTTTAAATGGCAGCGGTCTTAATGTTGCATTGAGATTGAGAGCTAATGCTGAATGGTAACAATGATGGGAAAAAACTTCTAGCAGTCTGAGCAGTGGGCCCCGGTACTTAGAATGTGAATGTTTAAATAGAGTATATCATGCGCACATGGAGCATTCTGAAGTAATTGAACACAGCTATGTGTTTCTCCTGTAGTAGATATAAACCACACTTAATAGCACCACTTTCACCTTTGTAACTAACATTTCTTAGATAAACGTGTTCCATTTTGTCAGTTATTTCAGTCACTGCTGTTCTATTTTTAAAAGATTGATTTGTAGTAATTTCAGCTTACTGTGAAGCCGCTGCAAATGCTGTGGCTTTTAGATAATATATGAACCAAAACTGTAACTTATCCTTATGGAAAATGACCAGTATTTGCCACTACAGTGGATTGGCTTTGGCACCTAAATACTTAAGTACAGAAGTGTATGATAGTGGTCAAAAGAACAGGAAAGTTGGCACATGGTTGCTCCAAATCTCTCAATGCACAGACAACAAATTAACAGCAGAAGTCGTCCTAAAAGTCTATAGGAGCCTTCTATCAAACACGTCTATTGAAGCTGGTCCACACACACATATGAATGGTATGGAAAATGAAAATATAAGACTAATGAAATTTCAGTCTAACCAAAAACATCCCTGTACCCTCTGTGACACTTCTCTGTGGAATGAAACAAGCTTTTGACTGTTTCAGCTACCATGTAAAAATTATTAATAATAAAATAATAATAATAAAGCCACATTTAAAAACTGTTAGACATCACGAAAAGCCATTTCTTACAAAAAGAAAATGCATTATGAAGTCACAGACACATCTGTCAGCAAAACAGAGATAGAAAAACATGAGACAAAAACAACACAGACATTGTACAGAAGAAACTGAGTATAAATATCTTCAGTCACTGTGTTTAACAGGGTGCCCTCATGCTGACACCATTCACCCTCACTGAGGGGAAACGTTGGATCCTTCTGAAAGGATGTAGAGCACCAACTCAAGCACCCACTTCTGGAAAAGCCCTTACCAACAAGTGCAAAATGTTGGCCACAGCCCATCAAATAAGCCAGTACACCAAACAGAAAGTGCAGTAAGGCCAGAAGACGGTTCAGGAAATTACAGACAGCAGAGCTGTCAAACTCTTGATAACTTGACAATCTTTATACTTGAATGTTTTTGTGTCTTCTAACAGTAAGTAGATTTGAGGCAGTCCTGGGGACTACTTAAGGAGAGATGAGGTTAAAGGGGCTTTGGCCCAAAATGAATTCTCCAACTCCAACAAAGTACATAACTTGTGCAATGCCAAAAAGAGGCGCAATGACGAGCGCCCTGCAGCCTGCTCCCTTCAAGAATGCTGATGGCCCTTCTCTCTTCATGATCTTACTAGAAAGTACCAAAAAAGCAAGGGTCAGCAACAGTTCACTTAACCGATGCTCATACATGTTCAAAAACATTTAAAATAAAATCAAGAATGATTTAAAATAGAAAAGCTTTCAGTGGTTTGCATACTTACCTCACACAGTCAAGCACACCACTGTATGTCTCCTCATTCGCTCCTTTGCTCAGAGACTGCAGCCTAGTTTTCACCACTGAAAAAAAAACATTAACAGGAAATAGTGAGTGAAACATAAAGGGGGGGGGGTGTAAAGAGAGAGAGAGAGAAAATAAAGGAAGGTGGGAAAAAAAAATGTAAGCAAGCAGCTTACTCACCATCACAAGGGTTAACTGCCACTGCAGCAGTGGAGCCAGCTACGCAGCCACATATGAACGACCAATAGAATGGCGCCACACCATCTACTGACTGCTTCCCCAGTCGGTTTAGATTAGCAAAAAGAGGGAAGTAGACAATGGAGAAAGGCACATCTCTGAAAAGTAAGAAGCAGACACTTAACAGATCAGAAACATAAATGAAGCATACCCATGTTTACATACTGGAGCACACACCTTCAATACTGATCCAAAGATGCACACTATTTTACAAGTGCGGGTAGCTTAAATGTGCGCTCACCTCATGAGAGTAGCTCCCAGGCCTTTGTAAAGGCCCTGAATACCCTTGGTGTGCAGCAGCTCTTTTGCAATCTGGGTGGCAGATACAGCCCGGACAGATGAGCTAGGCACCACATTATAGGACCGGCTCAGCACAGCATTTGTTGGGGCCAGTTTATTGGAAGCCAGGATACCAGGCTTTCTCTGCTGGGCAGCTACAAGTAATAATATTCATTTTATTTTTTCAGGCATAACTAATGTTATACATAATAAAATGATGCATAAAAGCATAAGTACAGAAGACAACCTCAAGTAAAATAATTCTGCACGAACTAAACAAAAAAAAAGTAGGTTTACCTAATCTTCCAGCATCCTGTAGCTGAATTTTCAGCATCTCCATGGGAGTAGTGATTATGACTTGGCACATGCCTGCTCCACATCCTGCCAACATCTCTTTAAACACTGTTAACCCCTTCCTGTAACACACAGCATGGGTTGTTAGCTCTAGGACTTCTTTACAAAACCTGTTCTAAAAATTTGCTGAAGGGTGACATACCCATGTTTGGCAAGGTGGTGTCGAAAGAAGTCATTCGCTGCCAGCTTAATGGCCTTTTCAGGTGTGACCAGAGTAAGATTGACCGCAGCACCTAAAAAACAAAAACTGAGAGGGTTACTCAACACAGAAGCAACAAATCCACAGCCACACAGGCTTTCAAAAGAAAGAAAAAGATAAAACACTACCCATTCCCCACCACCATCAAACCAAACAATAGAAGACCATATCAAATAAAAACAGAAACTAACAACGAACAGTCAGTAGTTTAATGTGAGGAAAGTTCAACTGAAAATTGAGGAATGATCATGGAGGGGGATCTGGCATAATGAAAACACTGAGAACCAAGAAGCCAAAAAATAAATAACTACACTTACATTAGACAATAGAATAAAGAAAATGGTGAGAATGTAAACCAAAAAGGCAGGCATAAATAACAGAAAAACAATGACTATGTCTAGTTCAAGATCCCATTGCCTTCCAGAGCAAGGCACAGTTATAGATGCAGAAGAGCCATGTACAGACAGAATGGGGTATAGACAGGTAGAAAATGGTAATTGTAAGTAACAGTGAAATCCGAAGACTGTTAGAATGGAACTTAGTTTTGCAGGACATGGCTAAGAGTTAGTAGTAAGAAAGGACAGTGCAAAAAGACGACATAGTCCACAAAATTCAGAGGCTATGAAGAAAACAAAGAGCAAATAAATATTTTTAACAAATAAAAACACTTGGTGCCTAATTAAAATAGAGCGGAGTGGTAAGAACCATGATAAATGATTTGCCTCCAGCGTGGCTGCGCCTTAATCGGCTAGCCTTCACTATCCCAGGGGGGACCCACGTCTGTAACATGAAAAACACAGATGCAAACAAACAGCATTCCTCACAAAAATGGAGACCCAGCATGGGCTCCAGTTTCCTCAAAGCTACATAACTTTGTCTCCCAAATTATCTGCTAACTTTAATCAATTCAACTAATCATTTCCAAGTTTGAGAACAAAAACAAAGTTTTCTCTTTTAAGATCTCTTGTAAACGAAGCAAACTTATTTAAACGTAGCAACTCTGTGTAGACTATTTCTGATAATTTTACAGGCAAGACTTTAACAACCTGTATGCCATTTTATCAAGCACTATGTCAAAAAAAAATGCTGTACTGTAGTAAAGTTTACCAGTTTACCAATTCTAGCTGTTTGAGCTACAACCATGTACACATTACCTACTACTCAGGAAAAATGTTCTACTACTTATCAAATCTATAAACACAACAAAATATACAAAAGAAAAACATTGAGTGGGATGAATCTTACCTCTGTACATGCCAAAGTAGCCCTCTGATCGTACTGTTTTGATTAGGCAATCCATCCTAAAGAAACAGATACATGTTGAATTACTGTACAGAGCTGAGGTCTGATCAAGTACATTGTCAATGCCAAACATGAATACTATTCACACCAATTTGTACCTGGATTTCAGATTAACATAACTAGTACTGTTTACATAATCAGTATTCAAAAGAGTATCATTATATCTGAAAGAAACAGGAATGGGAGGGGGTTACTTACATATTCTTGTAGACTTGTTGTCCTTTTCTCTGGTTTTGGAGTCGGGTCTTGGCTAGATCAATAGGGAAGACGCAAGTGACCCCAACAATACCAGCAATGCCACCATTGATTAGCTTGGCTGGGAGGCTGAGTGAGAAGCAAAAAAGAAAAGTTAAACAGTGGAATTATTACAGTAAACTATACATACACACAAAATGGTTTAGAACAAAAGGAAATCCTGAAGTGATTCAAAACTCAGATTATAGAGTTACTGTAACTCAATAACCAGAAAAAGGGGGTTATGAGACCATTAAAAGTTACAAACCTGATCTGCTGCTGAGACATTGTGAGAAATCAGAGAGGTGAGGAAAGTGAAGAACTGATGTCAAACGCTTTAAGTGTTGTCTTAGGTAGTTGATGCTGAACTCTGCTGCTGAGTGGTGACCTGAAAGGCAAGAGTGATGATGACTTACCACTAAGTCTATGCATCACCTACACACACTTCCGGAACATAACGGTTCACCTCTGATATACTAGACACATCCCCCACACAGACTGTAACCGGCTACTATTCATACACTAAATAAGGCCAGCCCAGTTCCGGCTATTCACAGACCTAAGCCCTGCCTCAGCCTGCCATAACTGGGCGTGTTTCATATTAATGAGCCAGTGATCACGTGTTTAATATATATTTCCTTGACTCAGCCAACTAACGGTACCTAAATGGATATGAATCGTTCGTCAAATATCAAACCTTGGTTTTCACTTTACATTTTTTGAAGGCTTAAAATCACAGTTTACCACTTTAGTCAGCTATTACGCTTTACTTTGTCTTTTCACTCCAAACAAATAAAATAATCCTAATGTTATTATTAGTATTATTACTACTAATACTATTAGAACTGCAACCCTAGTTATTATCATAAGCGCTGAGGGTAGCTAGCCGTTAGCTGACGTTACCATACATATATATGTTTAAGAGGGAAAAAGTCCGCGAAAATGAGCTAACGAGCTAAAACGCTGAGCTACATCCGAAAGCCACTAGTAATGAACACCCGGGAAAACGAAACATGCAAAAAAATATTTGAATAACCAGAAATGTTCAGATAACACCCACTGGTTGTAGCAAAGTCATGCTAAAGCTTATGTGTGCTACTAGGTTAGCTGGCAATTAGCTTGGCTACCGAGGAAGCTACAGTTTCAGTCGGTGACAAGCAGACTTAGCGTTAGCTTAAGTTACCAAAATGCTAAACTGAGCTCACAGCTGGCTCAACTGACTTCCTTTATTCAGAAGAGCATGCTTCCATGCGACCAAGAAAATTACAGGCAGTTAATTAACCTAGCTATACAGAAATAGAAAGTGGACAAGGAGTAAGATATTTACGTACTTTTCGCGTCTACCCAGCTAACCTAGATAGCAAACTAACGTAAATGGCAAACGCTTGAGCTAACCGCCTAGCTAACCGCCTAGCTAACCTTGGGAAGACGGGTAACTTGCTAATTTAAAAACCAACAGCTACAAGGTTTACTACACTACTCAGAAGAAACAACTAAATAACATCCATATTTAATAATGAATATGAACACTCACCCTTGCAATACAGGTAAATATTTATAAGCGCCAAAACTCAACACGGGACTGTCCGTGACCGACGGTGAGGTTTGAATGAATGACTCGCTGGAAAATTCCATTCGAATTTAAATTCGAAGGCGGAGCCGCGGGGGTCGGTGTAAAATGAATCGTCCAATCAGGATCTTGATATTTGCATGTCCGCGCTTCATTCGCTGACTCCTGTCATAAAGCTCTTTTCATGAGGCTGTGGTGTCAAATTACACGGGCACCATAGGAGTTATTTTCTTATATAAAACAACGCTGCTGTACAGCAGGAACGCGATGCATCTATATGAAATAAATGCAAAGGTCTGGATGTATTTACTAAAACCTTATAAGAACACAGAGGCTGTACTCATGATGCTGCTTTAAAACAGCGTTTCATTGAAAAGTAGATATCCGATACCTTGTGTGGGTGGGGTAACCATTTGGACAAAAGAGCTAGCGTTAAAGTACTAAATTCACGTTCTGTGCTCCTGTACTTCTTCTGTGCTCCTATACTTTGGGTTATTGTAAGGTAAATATTGAGCACAGCTATGCACTTAAAACGTTAGGTCAAAGTATTTTCAAGAAGCAGCAATCTGATGTTTTGGTAAGCAGTAATACTACATCACTTTCTTCAAATAGAATGTAATTAAGACTTGCAAATCCTTGGAGATTACTACTATAGCGTGCAGCTCCCATTAGATTAAAAGAAGCTTCAGGAAAGACCAAGATCAAGCTAATCTGTTCCTCAGACAAGACAAACCGGAATACTCCAACTCACTGGTAGAGTCATAGGCCTGAAATAGCATTGACTTCAACATCACAATGTTCAGGCTACAAAAAGCAAACAGTGCTCTAGGAAAGTCTTTTAATAAGGTCGAACATATAAACTCAAACTTATATTTGGATTGCATGCCTTTTTGTGTTTTTAATCTGTGAATTTAGGTCATTGCCGAAGGCCATTCTGATACTGTAATATTACTTTGCATGTTGTCACTTGTTAGACACACCCCTCATTTTTCTTCACACAACCATGTAAGGTAAATACTAGTCAGTACCTGCTGTCTGAATGATCTATGTCGTTCAGATGAAACAGAGTCACACATTCAGAAAGACCTCTTGGAGGTCAGATTAAACCCTACAGGCATCACAAGCAGGTCTTGACACACAGGCTTTAAGTTTTTAGCATAAGAATGTACAGTTTAGAAAAACATGAACGAGCCAGAATTGCCAGTGTTTTGGACTTCAACCACCACAAGCAAACCTTTTCTTTGGGAATCCAGTGTTGTGTTAAATGTCTGTCCATTTTTACTATTAGGAATGTGGCTGAAGAATGCCAGTGGACACCAGACACATGGGTGTAGGTATGCATGGCCTGCAGCCCCCCTTAACGGAGTGCTGAGTGATCACATTCCAGCAAGTATATTGTTTGATCTATTATGTTATCAGAGCTTTGGCTTTTCAAACTGCGGACCCATGTGCTATTGTTAAGGGGCTAGTTATAGCATTCTGATACGATTGGTCAGATTGTGCCCAAGCATGTGGGGATCACAGAGTTATGAATGGTGGATTATAGTGGAATGGCTGCCTCTTTAGAGGGGTACAGATGATAAAACTGAAGTTTAGGCTGGGAGAAAAAAAACTGTGACTGGAATTTGTTTGGACATAAACAGATCTGTGATAAATGAGAAGTACATGCTTTCACATTACGGTCAGTATGCTTGCAATATGGAGCATACTTGATTTTGTAGAACACGTCTTTTTCTTATATAAGGTATATAAGCTTATATAAGATAGGGGAAAAAAACTGGTTGGATGGTGGCCAGCTTCCCCTCTCTTATAGAAGAAAATGAACATATAGACATTTGTGTGCTTGACAGAAGTATCGCAAAGGTAAGGCTTCTCAAACATAACATACATTTTTGAGGTTAAGTAACTTCTGCCAAGCTGTCAACACTGTCATTATGAGTATTTCAAAGGCCTTTCATAACGCTTACTTAGAAGTTTTTAGACTTTTTATAATTCTTCACCTGGAGCAGTTTTAGGTGCATTGTTTGAACATTGAGCTGTAAAGTATTGTAATAGTACAGTAAGCCTAAGTCATTTTCTTCATTGAAACTATTCATTTAAAAAAAAATTCAAAAACATAATTACTGATTAATCTACTGTAATATTTTCTGCAATTATATTTCTTTTAGGTTTTAACTTCCATAGTCCAACTTCCATAGCATTTGTTATTTTAATAAATAAGAAGAGAAAAAGGCATTACTTTTTCTTTTTGTTTTTTTTTATCCTCTTTGACCTTTGAAAAACATTTATTATTGTGATGTGAATGCAGAGACATTTAAGCTAATGGCACAAAAATGCCACATCATGTCTGAGCAGATTATTTAAAAAATTTATCTAATCTAAAATAACCTGAAAGTACACATCATTAACCACAACCATATCTGAATTACCCAACATTTCCAAGGCCAGCATTATAAAACACAAAATGAAGCGGACTCGCCCTTCAAGGAAAATTAGGAGTATCAGAAGGAGCTGACACTTTGCATAATGTTTGTTTTTGTTTAGGGTGGTTTCTATTTAGTTTCTAGGAAGACTAGAATGGGGAAGGGGGTTGTTGTTATGGAGAAACATCCTCACCCATCACTCACGGTGACGGGTGGGATTCCATACCACTGTCCTCTCCAGTTTTATCTGCCCTTCACCCCTCCCGACCTTGTAGCACGAGACCCTGTTACTACACCCACTGCTCTGTGACTCACTGTAGAGTCAGTACATGCCTAAAACACGCACACACATATGACACATATTTACGAATGTACTTTTGCAAGAGGGATGACCTGTGAGCTGACTGAAGAATGACGTTCCGCAAGACACTGAGTCTTTTCACACAGTGCTCTCAATGAGCCGGTGGTATAAAAATAAACCACAGCTGTTCCATTCTCACAAACAGACATATTTCTTGGTCATATTAGCACTTATTAATAAAAAAAAACAATCATAATTTACAATTTCCCTCAAGCTATTACTAATATGAAGAGCACAAAGATGCGTTTTACATTTCGGCACTAGAATATGGAGCTTCACTATCAGTATTTAAACACTTGCCTTTGATATATTTATTATTGTGAAATTTCAACTCTGTCGTGCATGATACAAGTAAATCATTCATCACAACTGTCTTGCAAAAATATAATTGTATTATAGTACTCATAAATCCATAACTCCATGTTGTTGGACAAATTGTGCCAACTTTTAACTTTTCTGCTACCTGCAACATTCCAGTATCCTCTAAGTAAAGAGTTCAATATGGTATGAAAAAGGTTCTATGACGATGTAACAGTAGTGGAACATTTTTTGAGTGATGCATACGTTTTTAAAGGTCGTTTCAAGAACTGTACAGTACTGTGCAAAAGTCGGAGACCATCCTTCATTTATTTAATTTACAGTCACAAACAGTCATTAAGTACAAGTTATTCATTTTTTCAGGAGATATTTCTGAGGAGATCAGATATAAAATATAAGACGCTTGCACAGGGAAGCAAAGATTCATGCGAAAAACCAGGCGTGTCCAAAACTGGTGCTAAAAAATGACTGAAACAGAGAACAGAATAGAGAACAGCCTCACAAGTCCTGGCAGACCAAACCTGTCACCATGAGATAGACAGCACTTTAAGCTTTCATCTCTGAGAGAGAGGAGAAAATCAAGCTCCACTCTTGCTTCAAATCTGAAAAAATCCACAGGTGTTTCTGTCTATTGTTCCACTGTAAGAAGATAAGTTAGTGCTATGGGTCTATGATGTGTAGCTGTCAAGAAGCCATTATTGAGAAAGGAGATAGATAAAAAAATGCAAATCAAACAAAGAACGATGGACTGGCCACCCCAGAGTCCAGACCTCAACATCATTGAATGTGTTTGGGATTGTTTGGATTGTGAGAAGCAAAAAACGCAACCAATCTCTTAGACTGAACTTTGAAGGTAGAAAAATATCCCTGCACATTTCTTTATAAGACTGAAAGCAAGTCCTCTGGAAAGAATGGAAGCTGTAGTAAAGGCAAAGTTTGGACAAAATAAATACAGAAAAAAAAATATAATATTTACTTGTTGAGGATTTTTTGTATTTTTTTTTGATTATTTCGATCTGAAATTATATAAATAGTCTCTGACTTTCGCAGAATACAACATGTAGCAGTTTCTCCATGGAGCTCTGTAAAACAAGAACCATGTATTCTTCATTTTGTTTTTCTCTAAATTGATTGTTAATTTTGTTTTAAATATCATCTTTATTATAATATTAGACCACTTCATTCTTGAAGAACCTTGTGGAGGCAACTATAGTATAATTAAATTGGTATATGTAAAAAGAACAGTAAGCTGTAAGCCTTGTATCTCGTTTTTTTGTTGTTTTTTCTTTGTTCCATAATTTGAAAACTCCAGTTACTCTTTGCATTGTGTTAAAATTTTATGATGAATGAATGGGCAGTCAAAAATTACTTGAAAAAAAAATCTTGTTACATTGACTTCCTTTATAAGTTAAGAATGTCTTTTCCTTATCTGTAAGGAAAATTACCAATTTGGAGATATTAGATTTTCTTTGTAACAGCGATGGTATAAACCATTGCCTTTACTAAAGAACCCCTCTTCAGAGTCTACTACACATTTTAAAACATACCAGGTCAGATGTGAAGTGTTCTGTCACACAGCAGGATTAATTAGTAGGTTCAGCATAGTAACCTTGTCCCAGTTCACTTTACTTGAGTAACAAGTGCTCATGAATGTCATCCACTGTTGATGGGCAACCATGTTGTCTATTGTTCCACCACTATGCAAAACACAGTACATGCAGGAGGGCAGAATGATGTGGAGACAATGACTCATGCCTTATGGTAACTTCCGGCCTTAAGAGTAGCACGCACCTGTCAAGGTTGTCAGGATGACCACATTCATGGATATAACAGGCTTGTTATGGAGTATTAGAGTACATAAATTCCCAGTAGCTCCAGACCCAACAAAACAACTACTCCAATCATGACAGTGTGTCATGTTTTTACTACATGTGTGGCTTTTATTACATGAACAGATCAGGTCAAAACACAAATCAATACTTTGGGTGTCCAGTCTGACAGAATTTACGGCATGAGCTGTACTAAAAGGTGTCACTTCAACAGCTGAAGCCACCCAGGTTGGATGAGGTCACTCTCTATAGGATAGGAGTACAAATGTCTGACCGGTTTGGAACACCTAGCGCCGGATCCGCTGCTTTTGTGGGCACACTCATCGCTGCGTGTGTTACACATGCTGCAGTGGCAGCTGAGAGCCACAGGGTAGGTGAAGTGAGGATCAGCGTGCGGGGGGCAGCCGGGGAGAGCAGCTGTGTGGTACTCCACCTCCTGATAAGTACAGCTCCTCTGGATCAGAAAGCGAGGCCCCACCAGCTCCTTCATATTGCTGTCCTGAGGGTTACGTAACATTGAAAAATGTATGTCATCAAAGAACGGAAATAGCTTCTCGAACAAGAAACAGTTTCACACATGCATTATAACAACACTTACAGTAAAAAACACATTATATTACAGGTTTTTTCTCGTAATCATGTTTTTTAGACACTTCACATGTGAAACGTGTTTTTTCTGTAGAGGAAAACTTAGAAGTGCAGGCTCCAACTTGATAGTGTACAATGTACAGTCGTATGTAAAGCTTGTGCTCCTCTGGTCGAATTACATTTCATTGATTTTCTAAGTAAAAAATTAGTTTATAGAGGAACTTATCCTCTATAGAAAACATGCTTCTGCATGTTTTAAGGCACAATTACTGTTTATTTCCCCAATTTAATACATTCAAATAAAAAAACTACTAAAACATAAAATTCAGCCTGTGCAAAAGGTATGGCACATTTTATATTGTATGTTTTTCCAATATGTTAAATGCAAAAATAAGAAAAAAAGCAAATAAACAGAAATAGTGTACTAAAATTTGCTGAAAAATTACGTATTTTTTTTCCCTGTAGAGGACATTTTCACTTTCACTAGAGGACTTACATCCTTCAGATAATTGACAACTTTTTTGACCAGAAGTTTATAAACTGGTTGTTACACAACTGTAAACCATCTGTAAATGTAATTATTTATGTCTCATTAATTTTGTGACTATGTAATTACATTTAAATAGCATAGCAAAATGACACTCATGACTCTAGTCTTCTAAGGGTTAGATTGTGCATTTTCTGCTTCAGAAGTAGCAGCTGCAGGAAGAGAAGCATATCTCTCACATCTCTGACTTTTCTAGAGAGTTCTGTAAGCCTGTGCTTGGGTAAAACAAGACCGGCCTCTGACTGATAAGCTATTTTTGCTCTGCAGACGTACTCGTTCTCTCTTTCTCTCGCGCTCTCTCTCTCTCTTTCATCTCGCTCTCTGTTTCTCTATCTGCTAGTAGGCCTCTTACCCTGGAAAAACAGAAGCCCATGCATATGGTGGTGTTGATAGCCACACAGTAGTCACACTCTGGCTTCTCAATGTAGAGGGTATATTCAGTGGGTGTGCACATAGGCATGGCCGTCCCCAGCAGAAGGCCCAATATACCAGCCACTAACACAGCAGCAGACATGGTGGCTCTGGCACACAATCAAAAATCCAAGAAGTCTGTAGACCTGAAATGAAGAAAGCTTCTTATATGGGTTTAATGCTGTATGTCACATGACTTTTGTGGAGCTTTTAGCTACTTGAACTAATTCTGCATGCAGAAAACAAAAGCTGATTTGTCTTTTTTTCTTTTGTGTTCTAAACTAACATTTCACACAGTGTGAATGGTAGCTGTGTGAATGGAGTTTTCAAATAGTATACAAAACCTAAACCTAGAAACCTAAAAAAAAGCTGCAATAATACAGTACAACAACACAATATTCTTATACTAGACAAAACCAGAAGCTTTTTGTCTTACCTGGTTGACCAGCAGCCAAACACCTGCTGAAGCTGAGAGCGATTTCTCTTATACAGACCCTCTAATCCCATCTAATCCCACTGTCTCCATATCTACAATCTCGACACCAGCATATTCATAAAACTACTTCCTCTGACCCCAGACAGCTGTACTCTTACTGCACATGCCACTAGGTCATGCTAAAGGGCCTGCTTGAGTTACCTAGGCTTATATAAAACATGACTAAAGTCAGAGTAAGTTTCTTGGTTCCAGGTCAGCTCTGCTCTATAGATCTGCTTTAAGAGTCATCTTGATGTAGTTGAACTAGGGCAATACCTGATTTCAGATCAGGACCACTTTTAGGGCCATGATCAGTTGATTATCCTGGGTGTGCCGTCACTGCTTTACACAAGCTCACACTCCAGGAGTGCGTGATGGCCTTTTATAACATAGTTTTATAAGAAATTAAGAGACTAACACCAACATTACACTCTGTAATCAAACCACCAAGTTATGGCTGTGTGGCAATTATACAAGTTGGCAACGTAGGTGAAATATATGTATATGAGACCTTATTTTCACTTTTCCAAGAAACACTATAAAGGTCAGCAATTCTGTCATGTCACAGTCTCACGTCTTTTAGCTATAATGTTCTGTTAGTTTACAAATAAAAAAGGCAAACAAAACAGGCGGTTGTAATCTTAACGTGGGGCCAATGAACTTACACAACAGGCCTGAGTATGAAAAATCAGAAAGGAAGTTCTTTTAACATTTCTGCACAATTTAATCATTGAGAAATAAACAAGTCAGAGTGGTTTGGTGTGAAATGGTGCATTGTAGAGAAAATCACTGAGTCAGATTTCATTGCAATGGTGGTGTTAGGAACCAGAGGTCATGACTGAACAACCAGTAAACCTACATGTGCATGTACCTCTCCACCAGGAATGGATATAAAAGCCCAACTATTTGCAAAACTAATCATAACAATTTCTCAGGCATCAGATTGCATACCATTGCTTAACTGCACGTTAATTGCACGTCCTTTATATTACTTGCAGATTATATGTTTAATGCATGTATAGTATATACATACTTTTTCCACATTTATTTTAGTGTATTTAATTTTATAATGACACCTGCACCAAAAGAAATGTCATGTATGTCTGGTGCATGGTGCATACTGATTCTGATTCTAATAGGACCCAGACGCCTGAAGAGGTTAATGCCTCTAAAAGCTCTGTCGTGAAAGCTGATGTCTAAGACATGGGTTTAAGATATATTTGAGATAAGAGTTTCACCTAAAACACATTAATGGTATAATTCCATTAATGCTGGAGAGGTACGTGCAAAAATTTGTGGAATTCCTCTTTTAGATTAACTCAAAGAATTTGCATTGTAATCCATGTAATTGCTGAATAATAAATTGTAATAAGACTGGGATTAAATAGGTTAAATCCTAAAATGTTGTTTTGCAGCTTAGAAAGGTAGTTACTGCATTTTCCAGTCTAAAAAAGATACTTTGACCATGTAACTGTTTAACTGTCCAGTCTTGTTAATGTACTTGGGCATCGGTCGACATGTTATCGCGAGAATGTTTCTCTGGATGTGTTATTACACAAATGTTTGAGCACGAGCCGTTGGACAAAATCCAGATCTAAACTCCATTCATAGATCGGCGATATAAAAAGACATGAATTTCACACATCAGTTCCACAAACCTATCAAGTGTTCATGATGAGTACATGAGTACATGACACATAATAACACCCTCGGAAGCTAAGATAACAAGAAGTGAACAACACTTAGCTGTTTCTTTGTGGTGCTGTTCGGAGTGACATTATCAAAGGTTTGGTTATGACTAATTTCTGAATCACTAATTCCTCCAGAAGATGCTGATATCAACACATTTCTAATTCATACTGATCTTTGCAGTGTTGTTTTTATGGCTATGTAATCTACATCTCCCATCTGGCCTATCTCCTATCTGTTTTTACTGGAAGTTAATAATTATTTTCTTCTATCACCTTCTTTGACATGTCTGTCAGGTTTTAACTGCCTGGAATCCTTTAGAATGTTTCTGATTTACTCAAGGCAGCAAGAAATGTCAACATGATGTTAGTGCACGAGAGTAACTTCTTAATTCTAGTGAAAGCAAACAAAAGCTTCTCTTCTGGGAACTCTGAACAATATTTGGTGGGCTACTGAATAACTATCTTAACTGAGTTACTAGATAACAGCTTAACCACATTTCTCAGCAACATGAAGTTTAAATCAAAATGGGGATTTTTAAGGCAAGGCGAGTTTATTTATATAGCACATTTCATACACAAAGGCAATTCAAAGAGCCTTTATATAAACAAAAACAGTGAACAGTACTTCATTTTTCAAACCTTCTGCATAATTAAATGGTCAAGAGTTATTCAAAATGGTTTGGTGTCAAATGTTCTATTTTAGAGAAACTTTCATGGTCAGAACTGTCCACAGTGGTGGTGATAAGAACCAGGCATCTGAATAGTTTAATGCCTCTAAAAGCTCCCTCACAAAAAGTTATTACAAGAAGTGGTCATAAATTTGCTGTCTGATGCTTGAGACATCTGTTTATGACAGTTTTGACGTAAGCCTTTGGCTTTAAATGTACTTTAAAAACTTTTTAAAACTTGTTCATGGTGGAGGTGTACACGCAGGGTGTTGTGTCACCCTGCATGTACCCGACAAAAATTATCTTTCATTTTTTACGATATTTTTATCAGATTTACTATTTTTGACATTACATATGAAAACCCAAAAAATGTGCAGGGTTTTCTGCTGGTTTCGCATAGTAAATAAAATGGCTATATTTGTGTTATAGGCATTGTGAGCTCTGGTTCTTTATCACCACCACTGCAAAGAAATCTGAGTTAGTTAGTTTCTCTCCAATGAACGATTTCACATCAAACCCTGTTTAGTTTCGTTTACATGAATTATTCAGAAATTTTGATGAATTTCTCTGTAATAAGTGTCAGCTTATTAATTTAATAATAAAAATAATAATAATAATAATAATAATAGTAATTTATACCAATGTCAGCTCAAAGTGCTTTACAGACAGGTGATAAAGCTTAACAGAAACAGAAGAAATTAAAGTTGAGTTTGATTTTCTTCTATCATAGCTACTATACATAGTTCAGTAACAGCAATATAGGAGAAAAAATAATAAATGAAATCATATAAATCAATAACACAGATCAAGTTAAAAAGATAAATACAAAAGGAGAGGCAAAATCTCAAAAACAGACACTCTGAGAGGTATGCAGCTGCTTTAAGGCCTTTTACAGCTTTAAAAACTAGTAGCACAACTTTAAAATTTATTCTAAAAGACACAGGTAGCCAGCAAAAGAGCCATTCCAGAAACAGAAAAATGTATCAGCAAATCTAAATGACACCAAAAACCGGCAAAATGACTAACCCTGCATTCACAATGAGAGCCGGTGATTTCCGGTGACAGAAGGCAGCTTGAACACAGTCGGCGATGAGACAAGGTTGTGCGGAGTTTAACTGTATGCAAATAAGGAGCGAAGCGATATGACGTGTGTTTTTTGACATTTGGTATTTAATATTTTGCTTGTGGATTTTATAATTTCATTTTAAATTTTTGGCACGAAATTAACTCCATACTTTAGTGACTGCAAGAGCTCAGAATCTAAGATTCCCCCAAGGTTTTGCACTTTAGTTTTGGTATATGAAGCAAAGAGCCTCTCATAAAGCAGCTTTCTCTGAATTTTAGTCCCAAGTTTGTTTTTGATCAAATTTGTCACCTTTCAGATGGAATGTGCATGTATGTGTCATGCATAGCTAGAAAATTTATTTGTTTATTTTTTGATATTTAATTGTTTGAATTTTTTTCTAAAACTGTATTTTAAAAAGGAAGATTTAAAATGGGCCTAAAATTATTGAGTATGGCAGTATCCATACTACTCTTATTTTCATAGAGTCTTCACCAGTTTTAAAAGCACCTGTTGCGTTTACAACACTTAAAACATTATTTAGCATATAAATGAAAATCATCTTAAAACTGAAGCAGGAACAGGGCCAAGATGACACGTGGAAAAGCTTAATATGTTTATAACAGTTTTGCCTTTCTGATAATTGTGTCATTAATGACTACCCCTTATTAAAGTGGCTTGTACAAGACATTTACAGACACTTCAGCTGCCTGAGCTACACCCCGTCAATTCATGGCCAATTTATTTTGAAAATAAATCATAATGAGTCATTAACTTCAATTAGCAGTTAATGATTGTCTAGATCTTAGCATTATTATACACTTATAAAAAGATGGTTCTTCAAGGGTTCTTTAGTAAAGGAAATGGTTCTATATACGCTGCAAAAAGTACGAGTGAAATTTCCTTAAACAATTTTCACAATAATTTGCATTTAGTTTTTAAGTAAATTTAACTTCAGATAATTTTAATGTCATGTATCAACTCAACTCTCTACAGTATTTAAATAACTCAATACAAATGGAGCTTGTTCTGCGAAGACTGTACGTTTTCAGTCTATCAAGCTCAAGAAAAATCTGCAATTCTACAAACGTGTATTTCAGCTAAGAGAGACAGCTTAAATTCAGGGCATATGAGTCTCATCAGGATTGTGCAAGCTCTGACCACATTATTACCATCTGCCATCACCTTTTTGCCTTCAATATCACTCTGCAGAGTTTTCCTTCAACCATAGATAAAACACAGCTGATCTAAGTGATGACATTTAGAATCTGAATATAACAACTCTCATTTTGGACAAGACAACAAACTATCAATTAACTATTAATATTTACTTTAGAATTATTTTGGCTAAACAATGAATGCATACTTTATTGAATATTAACATTTTACATGATATTGCATACCATAAATTTCCAAAATTGATGCGGTGAAATCGTCACTTTCGTACACATTTTTACAGCCCTGCTCTACAACACTGCATGTTTACCTAACAGTGAAAGCCAACAGTTCACAGTGAGAATCTCTTCTCAGACTCACCTGCTTGCCCTTCTTTGATTTCTTCATGTTTACTTACTGATCATCTTCCTTAAGATCATGCTGTACTTGCCACTTCTCTTCTTCTCCTTCAGATACTGGAGGACACATACATCAGTACAACTGCTGTTGACCGCAGTTTATAGTCTGTAAGTAGAAAAATTAGTTACCTTTGGTATCTAAACACAACCAGTGGAATCTTCCTCTGCTTTGTGCTTCTTATCCTTTTTTCCTGTTGTATATATCTTCTGGAGAATATGTCAGGAGAAATGTAGAATTCTTTGATGAAAAACTGTAAGTGGATAAGGTCAATGGTGGGCATATACACGCTGAAACAAAGTGGACATCTAGGGGTGAAAATCAAATGTCCTGCAAAGTTTTATCCTCTGTTCTCTGGCTCTAATAGTCACTTTCAGTAACTTCTTGAGAAGGAAAATTAATGTTCAATTAATTTCATTTTAATTTCTCAATAACTTCTTTACTTACTGCTTCCCACAAACACAAAAAGATTGAAAGGAGAAATCAAACCTGCTCTGTGGTGTTTGCACGTATGTATAGCCTGATACTACTTTATCATTAGTTTGCTGAGCAGGCTACAGGCCCAAACAATGTCACCCATCACAGTATGGATTTGATTCCTCCTGATGTCTGACATATTGAAGCATACTATCATGATATAGAGATACATGTAGGGACAAAACAGTACCCAAACAAAACTCACTCTTGCAGATTTACCACTATTTTACATGTAGGTTCACTTGTGGGTTTGGATAGTAAGTAAAATGGCCATATTTCTGTTGTAGACATTGTGACTGTTTTCAGAAAAGTTCACCAAAGGTTCACCAAACATTCTCAATCTGAAGAACCATTTCACCATGCAAAGAATCATTTAACTGTACAATGGTTGTATCTAGTGGTTAGTCTATATAATTTCTATATAATATAGTGTATATAATGGTTCTAAATAGAACCATTGCCTTTACTAAAGAATCCTTGAAGAGCTGTTTTTTTAAAGTGTGTAGGTGGAGATCTGCACCTGTGTTCGAAGCAGTAGTTTGTAAAACCAGTATGGTGGACTAGTGGGTTATTTGCGCCCCCCCTTGTTCCTAGATACGCCTCCTGATGCAGCATGTGTTCATCACTTTGGTTCTCAGACTCAGAATGGCTAAATACCATTAGCATTGCAATTCAGTCCAAGATCAGGCTTTATACATATGCAGGAAATAATCTGTATATGCTGAAACCTCTTTCTGCAGGCTCCCTAGTGGCAATGAACTTGATATGTTTAATTAATTTAATCAGTTAAATATTTTTCCCTGTAATTCTGTTATCTGACTGACTAGGACACTGTTGTCTCTCTGTGACTCTGTGTTTAGCACCTCTGAGAGGTAAAAGAGGAGGGGTGAGAGGCCCCCACTGTTAAAACAATTCACACCTGTCCACAAAGACGGCCAGGCTGAGATAAAACAGACAGCATGACTGCAGCTTTCCTGATATCAAAAAACTCATAAACAAATGCCACAGTTAAGACATCATTTAAACACAGTAAAAACTCTTTTATGAATGTTGACTTGCTTGGAGATGACTACGGAGACGAAAATCCAATTGGCTTCCGGCTTTGTAAATCATAAACATTTCTATCAAACCTTATTTTATTACTGTTACTGAAGAAAAAGCATTTTTAAATAAATGTTTTCAACCTTCAGATTTCAAGTGAAAAAGTGAGGGAGAAAAGCAATTCCAGTGCCACAAATGAAGATGAATAAAACAGCATTGTTTGTAAAAGAATTTCTTTTTCTGCCTCCTTTCATATCTTACCTTGGAGTCCAAATGATGCCTCTTGTTATTTGCTGCTGCAAACAAGGTCAAAGCCTTGAGCTCATTCCACTGACTAGACAGATTTTAAAGAAACAAAGCAAGAGGTTGATATCCATTACATTCAGCCCAAGAAGTTTCCTTATTCATTCAAGTACTAATATCATTAGGCCTTAGAACTTTGGGGATCAAACACCTGTCATTTATTAAAATGAAAGCAGAAAAACTGAATGGGTACGTTATGCATGCTTGCCGGAAGCAAAAGTTCAAGAGGCAAAAGCCTGTATTTGTTTATTTTTTTGTTAGCTCCTTCAGTACAATCTGTAAGTTACTTAACTTTTTTCAGTGGCTGCTTATGAAGACACACAATGAACCACAATGCTATAATTTCATCTTGGAAAAAGGGAGGGGGGGTGGTTTATGGGAGTTTATGAGTTGTCTAGTAATTGACGTTAGCATCATAGTCACATTTACACATTCCTAAGAATGCTTCCAACAAACTGCAATCAAGATTTACAGGAGTATGTTATAAAAACAACCTTATGGTTACTGTGGTTGACCTTAGTTGTGCTGATTAATTCTTACATCAGAAGAACAGGTCATTTCAAAAAGCATTTTGCTTGCCTTTTTGTGGCTTAGTAGACAGTAGCCTGATCACGCATCATATATCTCCTCACCCAAAATGTTTTGTCTTTTGGGCATTTTGCTGACCGCTCTGCTGAAACGTTACATACACTCCTACCACCAGGTCAGCCAAGCCCACTTTATGAACCTGGTTATAAAGCCTCTATTTAACAGTCAAACAGTGCGGCATATGACGGGGTATCTCCTACCTTTGAGAGATCATTAACTCAAGTTTCTTTGTGGCCTCGATGCAAGACAGCTGAGCTTTCCATTCGCTATCAGCTATTGGTGGGTTGGGCAGCTACCTGGCTCCTTCCACCACTTGAGCAAGTGGAACAATAATATATAAACTTACTGGCCATTATAAAAGCTAGGAACCAAACTCTCTGGACTACCACCTGCACTCAGTGCAGCTGTGTGAGGATCCCTTTTTCTTACAGATATCTCCAATGGACTTAAGATTTCGTTCCATTTAGGCTGAAGATGTCCACTCTGAGCGGACTCTTTTGAGGACCTTCAAGCATTCACAACAAGCCAAAGAAGAAACGCATACCTGTGGAAAAGACCAAAACTGTATTTATAAGCATAAAAAGGAATTGTACTTGAAAGGTTAGATTTGCTCTGTTGGAACAAATCATGGTCGGTACCGGAGGTCCCGTGGGTAGATTCTCAGTCTGGGACTATGTGGTGTTTGCTGGGCTGGTCGTGGGGGCAGCCGGTATTGGGTTGTGTCAGGCCATCCGAGGGCGTAAGGACACCAGCAGTGCTGAGTTTCTGCTGGGGGGACGTCAAATGACAGCGGTGCCGGTTGCCATGTCACTTACGGCAAGTTTCATGTCTGGGATAACAGTGATTGGCACCCCTGCAGAGGCCTATGTCTACGGCACACCGTTCTGGCTCTTCGCCTTCTCTTATACCATTATGTCCACCATCAGTGCAGAGATTTTTGTGCCTCTGTTCTACCGTTTGGGCATCACCAGTACATACGAGGTAAGAGAGCTGTCCAGGCAGGGGTGATTGAGGATAGGAAAGAGCCATCAGACAACCGGGGAAGTCCCTAAAAGCCTGACTGGGCGTCAATAACAGGGTCATAAGCTCCATTGATCTGTCTTCAGATGCTTCCATGTGGGTCAACCTTTGGCAAGGAAATCGATGAGTGGAAATAAAATTTACTAAATTGTTTTTTTCTGTTATTCTGAGAGAAATGATTCTCAGACAGTGTTATGTCTAAGCTTCTACAATATTATATGATAGTGTTAGGTTTGTTGGATACAGTAGATCGAATGCATCATCAAGCTATTTCATCACAGCCTCAGGATCTCTTTCTAGACCAGACAGCATCCTACATGATCAATTTGTGCTGAATGATTTGTATGGTAAAGTTCAGTTTGTGCTGCTTTGCCACTGTAAAAGTAATCTAAGGTCTCTTCATACTGAAAAAATCAATATGAAAACAAACAGTTTGATTTCAATGGTTGAAGTCTATTCATAGCCCTAGACGTTATTTATAGTTTGGATAAATCGGCTCACATTACAGCACTCGAAATTATGCAATGCTCACACTGTTGTCTGGTGGAACTAGAAAGGTGAAAATATTCCATTTCATTTGATCTCACAAACGATTTTCAAAACCATTTTGTTTTTGCAGTACTTGGAGATGCGCTTCAATAAGCTTATCCGAACGATCGGAACATCTATGTACATATTTCAGACAGTAAGTTCAGTTTTCATGACATTCATGATTAATACATTCATGCATTATTAACACTTGCATTTCTGACAGAGTTAATTATAATCATATCTTAATGGAAAAAGAGAATGCATTTGTTTTTACATCATGTAATTAGCTGATGCACTGGTGTCCTGCTACAGTGTACTGAATATAGTCATAAATGAAGAGCCAGTATGTTCACAGCAAATCATCTAATGGTTGTTATTGTTTCTGCCAGGCTTTGTACACAGGCATGGTCATCTATGCACCTGCACTCGCCCTCAATCAAAGTAAGTTCTCTTCTAAAAGTGAACTCATATCACTGTCCAATTTCTTTATGATTGTGTAACACACACATATTATCTTAGCGCCAGTCCTAAGAATGGTGATTATCGACATAAACAGCGTTAATAATATACACAGATACAAAGTCCATTTTACAACTACGCAGCTGCATGTGACAAATTAAAGTGCATCATAAATGAGCTTTAACGTTATGATTTGAAATTTCCTAAAGTACTCTGTGGTTGCTTTGCAGTCACTGGTCTGGACCTTTGGGGAGTGCTGGTGGCCACAGGAGTTGTCTGCATCATCTATTGCACATTGGTCAGCACCAACTTTCAGAATACCATAATGTAATAAGTTGCTGAGTGTCAGTTATATTTCAGGTTGAATCCAATTTTATTTGACTGAAATTCAATCCAGGCCACTATTAACACAATTATTCCTATGCAAACATGTTGAATTATAATTTCTTCTTTATTTCTTGAATTAGCTGGACTGAACCAGATCCTGAAGCAGTCGAATCTGTGAATGTGCAGTGTCTGCTGAATGGTTTCAGCACTGTTTGGCATGAGCAACTCAGTAAAATGCAGCCCTATGCCTTTCCTCATAGGGAGGCCTGAAGGCAGTGATATGGACAGATGTGTTCCAGATGGTCATTATGCTGAGTGGGTTTGTGGCGGTCATCGCTCGTGGGGCTGTGCTCCAGGGAGGCTTAGGAAAAATATGGGAAGATAACTACAAAGCTGGACGTCTAAACACATTTGAGTAAGTCACTGGTTTAAGGTGTGTTGTTGTTTAACTGAATAAAGTCTCATTACATTTATGAACATTAAGTCAAGAGTGTTCTTTTCTTTTTCCTATAAAGTTTCTATTGCAGAGAAACAAGGTTTAGCTAAGACAGCCATGAAATGATCTTTTTACAAGTGTCTCTTCAGTTTTGATCCAGATCCTCTGAGGCGACACACCTTTTGGACCATTGTTGTTGGGGGCAGTTTGATGTGGGTGTCAATTTACTCCATTAATCAATCACAGGTGCAGCGCTATATCTCCTGTCGAACTATGACTCATGCCAAAATGTGAGTATGCAATCAAAACAGTAGATCTACAGTCCTGAGAAAAAGTCAGAGATCACCCTTCATTTATTTTCAAGTCAAAACAGACATTAAGTATAATTAACTGATTTTTTTAAGAAGATATTTATGAGGAGACTATCAAAGGAAAACAAGTGAAACAAACAGTAAACTGGGTTTCAAATATTATTAAAAGATACAGAGAAAAAGGGTCTCCTAACAACCGTGCAAGATCTGGTAGACCACCCATGATCTCCATCAGATAAACAGTACTTAAAGCTTTCATCTTTGAGAGAGAGGAGAAAATCAAGCTCCACTTTTGCTTCAGATCTGAAAAAAAGCCACAGGGGTTTCTGTCCATCTTTTCACTGTGATAAAACAACTCAGTGCTATGGGTCTGAAAGAATGTGTAGCTGTTAACAATCAGTTACTGCGAAAAAGAAACAAACAAAAATAACACCATTTGCAAATCAAACAAAGAAGCTGCTGGTGTTCTCAGAATTGGACTGGCCACCCCAGAGTCCAGATCTCAACATCATTGAATGTGATTGGTATCACTTGGCTCTTGAAAAACAGAAAATGCAAACAACGTCTAAGACTGAACTTTGCAAGTGTGGGAGAATATCCCTGCAGATGTCTTTAAAAAAAACTGAAAGCAGGTCTTCTGAAAAGAATGGAATTGTCGCTGAAAAATGAACAACTTGTACTAATTTAAGGGTGGTCTCTGACTTGCATCGTGCTGTATATCCCAATATTAAAAACTGGACAAGGACACAATGTGTCAGCACTCATGATTTGCTCTCTATTACCTTATGTAGGTCTCTGTATGTGAATATGGTGGGACTGTGGGTCACTGTGAGCCTGGCCATATTGTCTGGCCTCACTATGTACTCCATCTACAAAAACTGTGATCCTCTCACTAACAAAGATGTTGGAACTTCAGACCAGGTGAAGCTCACTACACTAAAACAGTTACCATATCGTTTAGCTTGTTACTGGCAAAGTAATTTAATATGTGTGTATGTGTACAGCTCCTTCCGTACCTGGTAATGGACATGCTGGCAAAATATCCAGGTGTTCCCGGCTTGTTTGTAGCAGCTGCCTACAGCGGCACTTTGAGGTGAGGGGTGAACAATCTCCATTCACTAAAAGAGAATGTTAAGTCATAGTAATGGTCAAACATTTGACGTAAGCAGCTTGTGTTATTTTGCATAAATCCGACTGCCTTCATTTGGTCACTGAGTCACTCATTTGTTTTTGTGTCTCAGTACGGTATCATCCAGCATTAATGCTCTGGTGGCAGTCACGGTGGAGGACTTTGTGAAGCCTTTGTGGCCCAGCATGACTGAGAAACAGGCATCCTGGATTAATATGGGCATGAGTGAGTTTCAGTACAACCAGTTCTCACTGACAGCTGCATGCATTGATCTTAAACATTACCAGAGTGGAGGACAGAACAGATCTTGCATTAATTAAGCTCATGACACTGAACATTGACATTCCAGCTCCAAATAGTACTTGCTAACCAAGTCTTCAGTCGACCTCAAAGGGTCTTGAACCCCATATGAAAGGATAATATATATACATATATTTGCACATATTAAAAATATATGTACGTCATATGTGCAATATATTATGTTTTAAAATATGCACTGTTAGATATGAAGGTTCTGTGCAGGTACATTTTCCATTCCTCAAGGTACAAACAATGTAAATGAACTCTTAAAGGTATAACAGCGGTTTTAAGGTCCAGTTGTGTACTTTAAATAAGTTTTTCCCAGGAGAAAAGTACATATTTGTACCTTTTCATAACCTGGTATTAAAATGAAAATAAAAAGCCTGGAGACGAGACAGGATGTGTTGAGTCAATACAACTTAGAAAATATAATTTCAATGGATTATGGAACAGTTATGTTCCCTGACCAAAGGTACAGAGATGTACCCTTGAGGGTACCACCTCAGTGACAAGAGGGGTCCTGCCCCAGTGACAGTTTTGTACCTTTTTTGAGAGTGTGTGTGCTAAATATGTCTAACTCTGCTATTTTTGAATATTTAAATTTATGCCAATGTTAGCACATTAAAATTCATCAATATATTGAAATATATGCAGATATATAGATGAATTATATGTAATAGTGTCCATTGTATGTATAATATATGGATATAGATTGTATTTGACCAATAATTTGAAAATTTAAGGAAATGTATTCCCGTTGCATGTGGTAAAGTGTAGTAAGCAAAATAGAGCGCCATCTAGTGTACTGACTTTGACATTGAACGTGAAGTAGATTTCCTCTATTGATCAAATCATTTAATAATGAACCAATTATTAAAAATAAATGATTTAATATATAAATTAGTACTAGATGATTATTATATTTTCTTATTCCGTCGTAGAATTGGAGAATTACATGGACATTTTAAGGGCACTGAATATCGAGATTATGGTGAGGGTTGGAGAGTGTGTTCAGGGTTGGAGAGGGTGTTCAGGGTTAGAGAGTGTGTTCAGGGTTGGAGAGGGTGTTCAGGGTTAGAGAGTGTGTTCAGGGTTGGAGAGGGTGTTCAGGGTTGGAGAGTGTGTTCAGGGTTGGAGAGGGTGTTCGGGGTTGGAGAGCGTGTTCGGGGTTGGAGAGGGTGTTCGGGGTTGGAGAGTGTGTTCAGGGTTGGAGAGGGTGTTCATGGTTGGAGAGTGTGTTCAGGGTTGGAGAGTGTGTTCAGGGTTGGAGAGGGTGTTAAGGGTTAGACAGTGTGTTCAGGGTTGGAGAGTGTGTTCAGGGTTGGAGAGGGTGTTCAGGGTTGGAGAGTGTGTTCAGGGCTGGAGAGGGTGTTCAGGGTTGGAGAATGTGTTCAGAGCTGGAGCCATTTAAAGCCACTCTCCTCTTATTTTACGTATTTACAGTAACTCACTTCTGCTCAGATGTAAACAACCGCTGCACAAGATTGCGCAACTAGCGAATCTGCTCCGGTAAAAGCTGAATATAGACGGAGATAAACGCTATGTGGCGGCTTCATTAAAAGCTTTTAAGTTTTTCCTCACAATTTAACTTTATCAGCGGACTCATCGCAGTTATTCTGAACAGAACAGGAACACATCAAACCGCGCATGTGTATGAGCCATGTTTTCTTCACACACAGGATCTGTAATTGTTTAGCCTCGCTTTTACCACCTATTCAGTGGCTAAATGAGTGTCATTAAGAGGGTCTTATATTTAAATATACATGTTTTCAAACGCTTGTACGATACATTTTATAGGTGTATTCTTCGGGGCCGTGTGCATTGCTATGGCAGCGGTCGCCTCCTTGATGGGAAGTGTACTGCAGGTAAAATTTTAACAGACTTTTTTTCTTTGCTTGTGATAAAAAACACGAAATGCCTAAAATACATACTTTCTGTAAGCTATGACCATCTAGCGTCCACATTTGGTATTACACACAACAGCGTAAATACGTAGGCTCTGCATTAAGGCCTCTCAGTTAAAGATGTAACAGCTCCTCCTGCTGGATAATAATTGTAATGACATGTACGTCTTATTCTACTCCGCCCAATAGGCAGCATTGTCCATATTTGGTATGATCAGTGGACCTCTCCTGGGCCTTTTCCTGCTTGGCATGTTCTTCCGCTGCGCTAATTCCACTGTAAGAGTCAAACTGTATTTTGCTGTGACTTACTGAGATTCTGTGAACACCATAAATACACAAAATTCATATTACTGTGTATTTACTATAAAACATAGTTATAATCACATTGCAAAATAATCCTTTTGTCCTAATGAACTCTACATAAACTGAACAGTATTTCAATATCTTCCAGGGAGGTCTGGCTGGATTGATCATTGGCCTTGCTCTGACACTGTGGGTGGGCATTGGTGCGCAGGTGTACCCTCCTCTACCTGCTAAGACAAGGCCACTTTTCCTCACTGTGGATGGATGCGTTTCCGACATGAACATTACCACTACAGTGGCGACATGGTCCAGCGCAGTCACACCAACGTTACCACCAATGCAAGAATGATTCATTTCTATTAATTCTCCATTTGTTTCACTTTGACATAAGTGACCCACTTGTGCCTAATACTGATTGCCAGAAAAATTAATAACATTTGATTTAAGTAGAACAGAAATATCTTGGTGTTACGTGCTTTGTGTGTGTTGTTAATCTCAACGTGTATTTTTTTTCCATTTCAGCAATGAGAGACCAGCTTTAGCAGACTCTTGGTACTCTCTGTCTTACCTGTACTTTTGTCCTGTGGGCATATTGGCGACCCTGATCAGTGGGCTTATCATTAGTGCCATTTCAGGTGAGAAAGACTCCTGTATATGCTCCTACATGTGAGACTGACAGTGAAGTGGGATCTGAACCCTTTCTATGGATTCTGCTGTCTCATTTTAGGTGGCTGTAAACAGGAGAAAATAAGGCCAGAACTGCTAATCAGAAAGGAAGACCTCATCTGCTTTGGCTGGTGTAGAAAGGACGACGAGGTACAGCTTCTCATTCTGTGGCTCTAAATAAAGAAATCTAGGAACTAGTAATTCTTTGTAATTCTGATGTGTTTAACTTTATTAAGTTACAAAGTAACAAGTTATTTTACTGAATTTCTTGTTAACTCAACAGAACTCTGCACCAGACTTGATAGAGAAGGTTGGGCCAGACCAACTCTATGGATTGGACAACCCATACTTTACTGATTTAGAGCTGAAGCCGACAGAAAAGGACAAAGACTTTATCACCAAGTTGTAATGCAGGGATCACCAACCCTCCACCTGGAGATGTATTTCCTGTGAAATTTAGCTCAAAAACTCTGAAAGCCACAACATACTTCAGCTAGCTCATACAGACCCTATGCAGAAAACATTATTTGGAGCAAATGTGGTTGATTAGTGTTGGAAGTAAACTTTGTAGGGAGGTAGATCTCCAGGAGCTGTCTTGATGATCCAACAGAAGTTTTGCATTCTTTCATAATATTGTAAATAAAGTCTTGGATAGAGGTTTGTTGGAATCACAAACTCTTTATTGATAACAAACAAAGCACTCAACTATGATTTACAGATTTCACACAAATGCTGCCAAAAAAGTAATAGCAAACATATTTTAAAAACTTAGTTGGTATTTTGAAAACAAATTATGCAAAAAAAAAAATAATAAGTTTTTTGTTTTTTTTTGGTATCATGGGTTATGCACCACTTTAGTGTGCAGTATTTACAAACAGAAAATCATTGGTTTTATAAATATTTGATTAAAACGTTTTTGTCCCTTTATGTATTGGTTATGAAGGTGAAGTGATGTGTTGAGCTCTGAGCCTAAGCAAGAAACCAGTTCAAAAACACACACTACTGCAATGCAAACACACACAAAGAGTTAAACATACTGTGGCTGACAGATCCTGTTTCCTTGCCAACCTGACCATAAAGGAAGTAGCACAGGGAGGCCCTCCCTCTTACCTGCCTGTGACGTAGGGCCAACTGTTAAGCTCTCCTTTCTTCTGGGAGTGGAAAATGAATAGAGCTCTCGGAATAAGGAAAACAATAGCCTTCAGATAAACAGTGAGTTCCTGGTTTCATGATATAGGCATTCTTCCTTCTAGAAGGTGAGTTAAAATCTTACTGCTTACTACTTCTTAGTAATATAAAAAGAAAAAGAACAATGTACATCTTGTAGCTGCTGAGACAATTATAAACACCCATGTTGTCAGTCTTACAAATATCTATTGTTCAAAGTGTCGATTGTGGTATTAAATGGACAGGTAAGAGTATCGGCACTATATGTAGAGAGACCACATAAAGATCTTTGTTTAGCTGGACCATGTGGCTCTAAAATGAGATGGATTCAGTTTCATCTCAGCGCCATTTTGAGTATAACAGTAGGCAGACACAGGTATGTAATGTAGGAATGTAGCCGTGAGGGGTATTAGACTCTCAGATTATCAACCATTTAACTAACCAGACCAGACAATAGAATATTATGAAGTTCTAGATTCGATGCTAACTAAGGAACTTTATAACAGTTTGTTTATCTATAACTGATTCCAACAGATCAATGCCAAGAGCAAAAGTCAATTCTTTTATGTTCTTGCCAAAAAGATTATGTACAGAAAATGCCAAGTCTGAGCACTACTAAATATTTAAAAATAGTATAATTTTGAGACAGTAGTATGAAATAAATCCATGCTCATGTTATATGGAAGCAAACATCCACCATCTACGAACTTTATAAAACCTTATATTTTTCATGTAACTTTTTAAAGGGCACAAGGGACGTCTGAATAGCCATGAAGAAGTTCAATCATCCGTTTATGCTATGTGGTCTCCTGATTACACTTTCCTTCGCTCTACTAAATGCTACCCCTCCACCAATGACCCCCACTACATCAGGTCCAAGCAGTCACACTACCACAGGAAACCTTACAGAAAGCTATACTTCAAACTCATCAAACAATTCAGCCCAAAACACTACTGGTAACACAACTCCTTCAAATGGCAATTCGGGGAACTCAACAACCCCAAGCACCCAAAACAGTACTAACAGCACACCTGCTAACACGCAGAGCAACTCAACAGTGCCAAGCCCAACAGCTCAGACCAAGATTACAACAATACAAATAACTCTGACTACCACAGACACAACTCCCACAAGTCTTGCAACACAGCCCGCGTCTAAACCCACAACAACTTCAATGAGCACTGTCTCTACAAGGCTCAATTCTCCAGCAGTCACAGTGCATGGGAACGAGAGCACTTCCAACACCACAGCAGCATACCTAACCACCGAAACAACTCTTGGGAACAAAACAAACAATGAAACTGCAGGTAAGAGTGAAATACTACATCACTACACAGCAATACATTTGTATGAATATTAATATTTCATATTCACTGTACATTTTTATGTTTTTTTTTCTTTCCTAAGCAGGGGCTGGCTTGAATTTTTCAGAAATGTCCATGACCATTTTGTTCAGTGTGGTACTTGGCGTGATAGTTCTGATGGTTCTGGGGCAGATTGTGTACAAAGTTAGCAGGAACAAACAAAGAATGGTTCAGTATTCTCACCGTCCTCTCTATAACGAAGACACAGGTTAGAGTAAATTTCTGCCACCTTACTGTTCAAACTAGCATGCATTTGTGCAAGCTACACATTCATTCTATAATGACTAATGATAACTTTTAATTAACTATATTTGCATATATACTCTCATAGGTGAACAGTTTGTGGTTCCAGATGACACACTAGTGATTTCTGGAGGACTCTATGATGGCCCTCAGATCTACAACCCCACAGTGACTACACTGAATGATGAAGACCAGCCCACGTTTGCTTACACACCCACACAGCTCCGCTTGGAGTTCTTGCGCGAAGAGCAGGGGACAGACCGAGATTATGAGGCTACCAGCTTTGAAACCTTCAAGACAAATGAGTAAAAGCCTCAAAGATTCAATTCGGTACTTCAAAAGAAAACGCATTGGCTATGAGAAAAAGACTTCCCTGTGGAGGACTACTAAGCAAGAAACACTACCCACGTAGATGGAGACCATAGAATCTGGACTTTTATACTGATTTCAAATGATTTAAGCATTTTTATTTCATTGAAAGAGCAAGACATGAAACAGTTAACACTGAACAGTAACAGCAAATGTTACTTAAAATTTTAACGCAATAAATAACTGTTGCTCAAGCAAAATGTATCTTAGAATATTATGTTATCTAATCTCTATACATGTATTATGTAATTTATCCTCAAAACTGAAATAAACTGTGGAATCAACAATGACCTTGGTATCTAACTGATTAAGGTAGAACAGTTAGACTGTACAAAGGTTGTCAAGCAAAGATCTTATCAGTTACTTTTTTCTTCTTCTTGTCTGAACTGGTAATGGTAGTCCATCCGGCATCCCGCATCCTCTTCATTGCTGCCAGTTTTAGAGCTGCTCCTGGAGACTTATACACACTAGAACTCTGCACCTGTAATTAGAGGCTTTTATTTTACAAATGAAAAATTCGACACAATCACACTCAATCTAGAAAAATACGTAAGATCTTAAATAGTTATGTTCTCTTATATTCCATACCTTCTTCAGTAGGTTCAGACACTCTGTTCCACACTCTTTTGCTTGCTTTCTTGATTTCAAAGGTGCTGAAGAGAAACTCTGCCAACACAAGGCAAAAAAACAAAACGTACAACACAATGCATCTACATTTTTAAAGTTTATAACACAGTTGTGAAAAAGATGCAAGACAGGTCTAACAGAGAAAGTGGATGAAGTAGCATTTCAGAACTTACCAGTGTATCATTTTGCTCTGAACTGTCAGATTTTGAGTCTAGCTCCAGAGTGTTTTTCCTCCATGGGGCTGATTTCTCTGTTGAGGGTGGTGTACGTATTCTGAAAGACTGCAGCAGATGATACATTCAGTTACTCACACATCCTTTCATTACAGCCAAGCAAAGCAGAGTTACATACCCTTATTCGAGGTGTTGTTCCTATATTTGTTTCCAAGGTCCAGGTTGGAGTTTTAAGGAGGTTGTCACCCAATTTCTGTTATTAAGAAACAGTTGTTTATGCAAACTCAAATAAGTGCTATTAGATTAATCAACATGTAAACAGTGAATAAAAAATGTACAAGAGGTGTTGCCGAGGCATTTTTTGAGGATGTTTCTGCGTCCTTTGGAAGAGCATGTGCTGAAATCTCAGTGGAGGCAACTTCTGGAGTTTCAGAGGACTTGCCATTTTGGGGTGTTCTTTCAGAAATCTACAATCAAACATTTTATCAATTTGCATTGCTCCAACAAGTCAACATTGTATACGAGGGATTCCACTAATGCTTTAAATTAACACTAATATTGCACCTGTTTAGTCTTGTCTTTTTCAAGGGATTTAATTTGCTTCTTCAAAGCCAGAATTTCTTGTTCCAGATGCCCCTTAAACAAGGAAAATAAGCAAGTGAATGTGACACACTTCTTATCTCTATTAATGTGTCTGTATAATAAAATCATAGTGATACCACATTTTACTGCATTCAGAAGAAGACAAAAACCTCTTTCTCCATATAACTGTCTTTCTGAGATGTTTGCATCTTGGTCAGTTCTTCCACTTTCCACCCCAGATTTTCCCATATATTCACACTAAAGTTATAGTTTTGTCCAGAAACATTTCCCTAATGACAATGCAGAAACAACATGTTACCTTTTCCCTTGTGACCTTTTCAAGTTGTTGTTTCAATTGTCCATTTTCAACTTGGAGGTGAGAAAGCTCCAGCTCCTGGACATAAGTTCAATTTAAATGCAATTATCCTCATAAACATGTGTACTGGGTAGGAATGGCAGAAGACTTGCCTTAATCGTAGACTAATACATATTCATTCACAGCTTTTTCAGAAAATAACTTGGAAAGAGACTCTTGAAAAAAGTCCAATAAAATTACATTTAATAGCAATTACATAAATATTAGTCCTGTAATATAAATGACTCCTGTAATATCACAACACACTGATTGATTTCTGAATTTTAAATATAAACTTCATTTTTTAAAGTCATCCTACCTCCTCTACCTGTACAGTTCAAAGCTACACTTTAAAGAAAATAAAAATTATTACCAGTGATGTTTTATTGGCATTAACTTCAGCTTCTCGCATTCTTTTCTCATTCAGTTCTGCATCCTTCTCTTCCACCATCTTTGTCATACTCATGCTAGCGAGAAAGCAATTTGATTTAAATTCAATTTTTAAATAAGTAAATAACAAGAAAGTACAGCAAGGCAATTACTTTATGATCACAATGACTACTGTGAATGTTAATCATAAAAGAATTTACTTTATGTCTCTCCATTAAGACAACCATATCAGATATTTTCTGTTGGCATATGATTTCTGTGTCCTCTTTGCTCTTAACAGCTTCCACTGCTGTTCGTTTAAGTTTCTGCACCTGTAGAAACCAAATTGGATTGAGTTTCCCAAAAAGAATGGTATAACGTTTTAAAAAACAGAAACAGACCAGTTAGAACCTGACATTATGAATATAGTAGCAAAAACAAAAGATCTCACCTCCAGTGTAAGTTGAGCCTCTGATGTTGTTTTGTTTTTGAGCTCAGAACACACTGCCTTAAGCTCTTCTTCATGGTGCTCTTTCAAGTTCTGTGACTCTTCTTTCAATTTAGTTATCTACATTAGAACATGAAAGACAACAGCATCAGCACCAACACAAAAAACAATGGGTATACTCGCAAGTGTCAGAAAAAAACTGTATATATAAAAATCAAACCTCATTTTCATACTGAAAATGTTTCTCATTCTCCAGTGCTATCTGCTTCTTCAGAGCTTTATTCTAAAATGCATCAGAACACTTACATTTAACAGAAAAATAACAGGCTTCATACTCCTTTTTTTAAGCAAATTAGGATGCATCACATACTTCTTTTAGGTGTTCATCCAGTGCCTTGGTTTTGGCTTCCAGTTTAGTTTTTAGGTTTGCCAGCTAAACAGAACCACGGAGTTTGCAAATTAGAATAAAAAAGCTGTTCTTTTTAAACAGGAAACCCATATGCAAAGTCAAGTAGAATTTTTACCTTTAGTTCCTGTGCTTTGATATGTCTTTCCTTTTTCATCAGTTCACTCTGGGAGCTTTTGTTCTAGGTGATTAAGAGTGATAATCATGCACACATGCACATATCATAGTTTTGTGAATCACTCATAACTGAAATAATAATTAATAACTTGGGCTGACCCAAATAATTAGAATACTCAAGTATTTGTTTGCTATGCTGGTTTTAATTTTGCTATTTAGTATTTGGAAGCTTAGTTTTTTAGACCCCACCAGAATTCTAGAACACTTTTGTGGATTCTTGACAATTTTCAGAGTTTGTTGATTAGTTATCACGGTTTCAAACAAAATATTTTATCATAAAACCAAGAGACTTACCAATTACTTAATGCTGGATAAGACTGGCTATAAAAAATGTCATAACCATGCACTGTTAGCTAAAGGCTCAACATTGTCATGCTCCCCCTTATGTACTCACCTCTTTTCTGAAGCACGAGAAGTTAAGTGAAATATGTTGAAATTGCAAAAAACATTCACACAAAGATGAACATTTTTTTTTATTGTTGGCTATGGTTTTGATAGTTGAACAACATTCAGGTGATGAAGCTGAGAGTGTGCTTAGTCACTTGTTTAGCAGTAGCAAGCCGCATAACCGAGAGACAGAGGCAGAGATGGAAGGCTAGCTAATCGGTTTAGCTGATTCCTATACCACATGAATGGCTATAAATCTATACAAATTTAGTATAAAACATTAAAATAACTTGCCGAATCGTCAATCTTGAACAAGATTAATATTCGCCTATTGAACTAAAGTTTGCAAAGAAATATGAAATTTCATTAATTGGAATATGAGCTAACCTTTCAGTAAACCAGCTAAACTGACCAAGAAAAACAATTCAAAAGATTTACATCTTGAATGAACTTCTGTGTTATTGCTGCTGTCCAAGTAATCAAATATCCAGTCAGACTCAACTGTCTGACATCAAAATGTTACAGCACACCTGTCTTTCGGCATCTTTGGTACATTGAGCCAAATATTTTTTACAAATTTAAAACTAGAATATTTTGATTAAAAAATGAACTATATAAACAAACAAACATATTTAAAGTAAGGCTAATTATAAAATGTAAATACTGGTTTTGAGAGTGTCATTGAGAGTGAGTACTCAAATACTCGTACTGAAACCCCCACATATTGCTATTTATCCTTGATTTTCTCTTATGTTAGCACAGGAAAATGTTACACTTACAGAATCTTTTAAATGTTCTTCAATATTCTCACAGTCTTGACGTTGCTCCTCAATTTTTGCACTTAGCATCTCTAACTGCATTCTGTAACATTAAGTTCTCATGTGGGACAAACTTAAATAGTCACAAATATGCAAAATCTACCGTAAATAAAAAAAAAACTTCCATCTTACTGTAGTTGTTGTTTTTCCACTTGTAGTCTCTCTACTTTCATCTTCATCTTTTCCTCATTTTCTTTGGTTTCCTGAAAAAAAAAATTAGATACTATCACATATTACTACTAACATAATCAAACAATCACCGGCTGGCTTTTTCATCATACTTCCTTCCCTATAGGCACAATACCTTGAGACAGGACTCAAGAATCTTGGTCTCGGAAGCACCTCCTTCAGCTTGCTGTTGCATTGTGTTTTTCTTAAGCTGAAGCTGATGAAACCTCTCCAGCAAATCTTCATATTTCTCTCTAAAGACGGGCAGGAGGGCATCACAAAACAAAATGTGAAACATTTTGTGGCGTATTTAGAAAATAAGTGCTTCGTCATCTTTACTTAATTATCATTTTTATCATTTACTCATACTCAGTAGTAGTCATAGCAATAATACACAATCTGCCACAAATGACCAACAACTGTAACTACATTTTGAGCACTGTAGTTCAACATAAACAACAGTACAAAAAGCATATGTGACTGCAAAGGAAGTGACTGCTGTTACTTGTGTTGATCCAGATCCTTTTTCAATCTTTTAATATGAGTGGATGCTTCTGTTTCATTCTTCAGTGCTTCAGATAATTTCTCTTCAGTATCTTTCAGTTTCATCTAGATGAAAAATGACAATATATAACATAATGTAATTCTGCTTTTTATTTTTAACTGTAACTCTAGTCATGGATAAAACAGTCTTACCTCTTTCGAAAGAAGATGTTCTTTTATCTGTTTTTGCTCATTTACAGCCTGTTCCAGGGTCTCCACTACATTTTTATTTTCAGTAGAAGCAATCTTCAGTTTTTCCTTGCAAGAATTAATAGATGTACAATTGTAAGTACTACACACACTATCACATGTAAATAAACACACTAAATATATAAAACCTTCACTGAAAAAGACAACTCAGTGTGCATTTAATTTATGGTTATCTTCTTACATAAAACACACAAATCATGTAACGAAATACTGTGGTATATAAGCATAATCTAAATATGAAGGTTTATATATCAATGCACTATCACTTAACAACAAAAAAGCTCAAAAATGTATAATCATCTACGTACCCCATGTCTGTTTGCAGAGCACTGAACTAGATGTACAGTCGTATGCAAGGGTTTGGCCAAATTACATGTTTTGTTGATTTTCGGAGTTAAAATAATTTGACACATGCTACACAGGAATTTAACACATCCTCTACAGAAAACTGCACATTTTAGAACACAGAGTTTAACACATTGCCAAAAAAACTATAATATAAATATAAGAGGCACCATAACGTGCACAGGCCACATTAAACACAACAAATAAGCATTATAATTATTATCATTATGATTATTTTCACTTAGAAAATCAACAAGAATGAACTTTAATATGACCAAGGGCACTCACACTTTTGCAAACAACAGTAAGCCTACTTACTACTTCCATGTGAGTTTGTTTTATTTTTGGTACTGAAACATTTTTTGTTTTGCATTTTACAAATATTCATACTGACTTAGGGTTTTTGTTTTACCTTCAATTCATTTATTTCCATTTGTTTATCCTCAAGTTCTACGGTGAGCTGAAGAATCTTTCCCCCATCCACCTTTAACTTTTCCTCTGAACACTTAAGCACATCTGACATCATGTCCTTCATAAGAGTATTGACATACATTAGCTTAATGAGCAACTATTAAAACACAGTGAAAATACAAATGGTCTGGTGAGAAGACTACATACCAGTTCATTTTTTAGCAGTTGTATTTCATTGTTACGTTCCTCTTCTTCTTCCTTTATTTTTTCTGTGTGATTACAATTTATTTAGTTTCAGAAAGAGGCCAACAAGGTGTAAAGCTAATTATAAGCACCCTATTTGCATACCGAGTTCTGCATTCCTCTCGTTGAGCTCCTCAGATATTGAGCTAAGCTTCAATTCCAGTTCTTGGGCCCTGTGAAAATAAGGCAATTCAGTCAATGAGCATGCGAAAAAAATAGTTATTAACGTACACCCATTCATTATTCACTGGTGTAATTTTCTTGCACGATACTTATTATTGGCTTAGAGCCAACTGATGCATAAAAACGTGTTCTCTGTCAACTTGCCTCTGTTTCTCGGATGTTAGTGAACATTGCAAAGACTCTACAGTAATCCTTGTCTCTTTCAGTTTGTGTGCCAGTTGTTCTTTGATATTATTCACTTCCTCAAGTTTGGCATCACTCTCTTGAAGGCTCTTTGCATAATTTTCTTTGGTTTGCTCAACTATGACTGCTAAAACATTCTGGTGTTCCTATGGAAACATCAAGTAACGTGGAACTAGTGTTTAACAATAGAATAAATCCACAAGCAAACAAGATGATTCTTCAAGTCACATAAAAATATTATGAGCATATTAGCATAAACCTCAGTCTCCTGTCTGAGTTGTTCTGTCCTTTTCAATTTTTCCTCAAGTTTATCCTGTTCTTGTTTAGAGATGTGAAGTAATTCCTGGTGCCGTTCTAAAAAATTAAATTATAATTGCCTAAAGAATCACATTTTAAAAAATAAAAGTGTGTTGTACGATGTTATTTTACAGTGTAATCATACTTGCAGATTCTTGAAGTTCACTGTAGCTCTGCTGGGTCTCTTGGAGACTAAGTAACATTTCTTTAAGGTCACTTTCTTTTTCTGTTAGCTTTCCTTGTAGTATGGAAACCTTAAAAAGAAAACATACAGCTAGTAAAATGTAACAGTATCACAGAAAAGCATTACATACTTACTTACTGTTGTAATAACAGTGTTCAGTCACTGGCCACTTTATTAGACACACATACCTTGTATCTACACTTACTGTCTTTTTTATCTGGTCCAATTATCATATAGGTGCAATGTGACGTTCTACAATTACAGATTGTAGTCCATCAGTTTCTCTGCATACAGGGCCACCACTGATGGTAGTGGCATGTTAGTGTGTGCTTGTGTTACACAGATTGGATCACACACAGAAGTACTGTTCATGTTTTTAAACCGAGTTGTAGGTTTTCAGGCCAGTGTGGTTGCAATGCTGAGACCAACCAATAAAACAAGTGAAATTAGGAGTAAACCTACAGCCACCTGTAGTGGTCCTATGGTGTTCCTGACCATTGATGAACATGGAAACAACGCTAATTAACTATGCAGAGAATTATGCAATCTGTAACTGAAGAACTTCAAAGTGCACTTATATCATAGATGGACCTGATAAAATGGACAACAAATGTAGATTCCAGGAAATTGTCTAATGAAGTGGGTAATAAGTGTATATTTATAAACGGCAGATTGATTGCAATATTAGAAAGTTTATTATGGTCCCAATACTGACCTCTAGAGTGTGTAGATTGATGTAGATGTAGATTTAATAAGCAAACTACATACCTCCTCTTCCTTCATGTGATACTCATTCTCAAACCTTAACTTAAGGTCCTCAAACTGTTTAAGGCCTTCTCTAACTGTGTGATATGTGCAAAAAAGACAAAATAATTATAAACAAACAGACCAGTGGTTCTTAATCCTGCTTCTGGGACCTTGCACAGTTTCAACTACATCCTGTCCCAGCACACCTGATCCAATTTATGAAGGGTTTGATAATCAAATGATGGTTCAGAGAAAATAGGTGAAATGTTGGAGTGCTGTCATCAGGAGCAGGAATGAGAAACCCTGGGCAAGACCCTTACATTATCCTGGTAGCGCTGCATTGCATAATAAAACTTTGAGTACTCTTATTGTTTACCCTTCAGCATTTCTAACTGGTCAGCCTCAGCTTGCATGCGAAGATTTTCAAATGCAGCAACCATCCTCTGCAAGAACCAAAGGCAACCATAACTCAAAATGCAACCGATGCAGGCAAAGTGTATCAAAATGTCCAGCGATTTACATCAAGGCAAGACTTAATCTGAATCCAGAAACTGCCTTAATGGTGTCTTAATGGTGAAGGCTCATTATAAATTAAAGCAGATTCTAAACTAAAGCAGAAAGTCATTTAGCCACTGAGAAACCCTATAATGTATTCACTATCATTGTAAACATTTCCTGCGCAGATTCTAACACTGAGTTATATGTCCTCTGCTTTAAAATAAAACCCACATCAACCTTATTTTCAACACTATTTTAACGCTGTGAAAAGCAATAGGTACCTGAATATTTTCATGATTTTGCATGAAGAGACCATGTGTTTCTTCTCTTTCAGCCTCAACTAAAGAAACACAACATATTAGAGCTTAACAATTATAATTACTCAAATGACTTCCGTTACATTTTTCAGCGTTACTTACACAGACTCATTTTCTCGGTAGACCTTTCAAACGTGTCCTTCAGAATATTGCACAAATTCCTTGTTGCATTATTCCTGAAAATTACAATTTACAATTACAAACAAAAAACAATTAAAAACAAACATTAAAGAGTTGCATGCTATATTTAAAATGCCTGCTGTACACACTTGTTCCTCAGATCTTCATTTTCTCTGAGTTGTTCCTCTAACTTCATGCTAAGGTTTTCATTTCCAAACTGTAACAGATGCACAATGGAAACATTTTGTTTTAAACATAGTTTACTATGTACTATTGGTTTCTGAACATTTGTCTTTTTGAATAATAAAACTAGTCTTACATACCTGAAGTTCCTGTATGGCTTTACGCTGAGTCTCGATTGTTCTTCTATTCTCCTTAAGCGTCCTATCTTTTTGTAAAAATTCACAGTCCATTTTCAGTTTCCAGGATTTAATTTTCTCTGCCTCTTCAAACAGTTTGGAATACAGTTGGCTGCATCTCAATGATGTCTGTCAAAATAACGTAAAAAAAAATCAGCATACTTGCTTGAACCAATGAAATCAACAGCACGAAAAATATAATAAAAAACCATGAACACATACAACCTCCTCTTTTTCCATTGGCAACACGGCAATCTTCTTAGCAACCTCTTCAAGAAAACAGTCAAAAAGTTGTTTTGAAATGTTGTAATTATGTTAAGGTTTTGTAGTGACATTACACTGTAACGTAAGCATTTCATGAGTTAAAATCAACTTATGCACTTTCTTACCTACTCTTGGGGACTTTGTGGGCAACACCATGTTGGTGTTGGAAAATGGCAAACTTGTCTCTTTATCAAAACACTTATGATAACCCTAAGGAAACAAAATAAAGCCACGTTGGGTTACATGAAGATATTTTTCTATTGTAAATGTAGACATTAACTGCCTGCCTACCTGTACTGGTGTCATAAAGCTGTCGCTCTCCTCAAACAGGCCAGAATCTTGAGGCTTCATGGCTGACACCTGAGCTAAGTTGGTTCTTGGAGGTACTAACAGCTTGAAGTTAAAGGCTCTCTCCATACTGCAACAAAGCATAAGAAAGAGGAATAATTATCTCACCTAGCTAACGTTAGCGTAGCTAGCTAGTTAGGTACCTCGAGCACACATTTTGTCATCAAGCTAGCTAGCCAGAAATTCGTTTCTTTCTTCTAAAAACTAGCTAGCTAGCTAGGTTTATCATGTAGAACTGGTTAGTTATTTCGTAACGTTATCCTTGGACTACGTTTGCTAACTAGCTAAGTTAACTTTAACATAATTTAACGCTAGCAAAAGTCGACTTTTTCCTGCCTTTGGACTTATGACCTGCTAACAACAACGTAGCTAAAGTTAGTTCCAAACATAGTGTTAGCCAGCTAAGTTAACCTAGCTGTTGTTTTATTAGTTAGTTAGCTGCTTGTGGTGTTAGGGAAACAAAGAAAAGGGTGGTGTTTTAGAAAAGAGAGCGTTAATTTAACTTACCTTTCGACAGTTTGCCAGTTTTTTCGCTATTTGGCTTTTTAAGGCCAACTTTACCTGCTCTACCGTCTGAGTCACGATATTAACGGTTTTTAACGGACTCCGTAACTCCGGTGCGCGCGAGTTGTTTTAAAATAACCGCGAGCTCATTAGAAGTAGCGTTCTACGCGGCCCTGTTCAAACCTGTTTAAGTCACTTACTGTGCAGGAATTAACTGAGTAATGTTAGCAGATTATGTGATCTGATTTTTTTAGTTTTACCCACAGGGTCTAACTGCAGAAACACCTGTGCAGACAACCTGCGGTATTCTGCAGGCTAAAACAACAAACTGCTAGGATTATACTGTACTGCAGGGATGTCAAACTCAACCACTAAAGGGGCCATATTAAAAAATCCCAACAAATCCGTGGGCCAGAGAAAAATGTTTTTATTTCCTTTTTAATTAATGTTGAACTAACCCGAACCGGCCATTTTTCATTCAAAATACGCAAAAACATCTGCAGTATAATATAGGCACTTGTAGTAACCCTTGAAATATTACATGGATACTTAAAATATTCAAAATTTAAATGTCCCCAGGAGCTCAGTCTTTTAAACCTACCTATTGTCTTGAACTAGACACCTGTCATCCTTTCATTGCTACAAGTTCCTTGATACTTGGCCTCAACTTCTGGGCTGCTGAGCTAACGTTAGGTGTTTATACTGGTGAAACTGCAGCTGAAATGCAGCTAGTATGTTTGGTGACAGGACAGGTGTGAAAATGTGTAGAACTGAGATGTAACCGCTGTCCCTTAGACTGTTGTTGGGGTAGGAGAGTCAGAGTGCACATTATGTTGGAGTGCATGCTGGGGACTGAAGACTATTTATCAACCAGTTGCTGAAACAGCATGGCTACTGCTGCTTCTCTAACTCTTAATTTACTAAAAGAGAGAGAAAACTTACATAGCTATTACATTTTCATGGCTGTTGGTCCTGTAATTTTTCGCAGTTCCGAGTTATCACTTCAGTCAATTGAGTTTTATTACATAATTACAAGCCATTACAAATATGGACTCTACAACCATTTGATACAGTCTCTAAAAACATTGCAGGTGTTGGCAAGTGTCCTAAGACAGTGACTAACAGACTAGTGGACAATGTAAAAAATGGACAATAATACAATAAGACGTTATTGAAACAAGTAAAAAAAAAGAATTGAATAAGAATGTGTTTATTAGTATATTCATGTTCAGGCTATTCATAAATTCCTAATCAATACCCTACATTTACAAATTATTGGATGACTGTGAGGTAAAAATATGTATTTAACTTAAAGATGAAAGATGCTTCTCTTTGAATCACTTTAAAATATTCTGTTAAACAGCAAGTTACACTTAGAAATAGTTGCTAACACCAAGGAAAACAGTGTTTACAGAAAAGATCCATTAGATTATATTATGGGATGCCCATTGCTAGCTTACATTTTTAGATACTAAATCTCCTTATTAGATACTGAATTGCCCTCTCAGTGAAGTCTGTTCTAGGCATGGCAATGGAATTAGCCTAATTTGCAAACCTACTACAGCACCTGAGTGGAAATATTGCATTCAAGTCTGCAATACAGAGAGTACAGCAATAACGCAGTAATGCCTAACAGAATGATTGCAACTAAACAGCTGAATCAGTCAAAGACTACATGCTTAAAAAAATGGTTGTTCAGGGGTTCTTTAGTAAAGAAATGGTTCTATAATTGATGAAGAGTGTGTGGTTTATATGGTTCCATAGGGAACCTTTTTGAGAAGTGTTCTCTACAGCACCAAAAAGGGTTCTTCTATTGTTTTAGGCTTGACATCGTAACCATAGAAGAACACATTTTGGTGCTATATAGAACCCTTTTCAAAAGTTCTATATAGAACCATCTACAACACATTCTCCATCACTCTGAAGAACCATTTAATGATGTAACGTACCCTTTAATCATGCAAAGGGTTCATCTATATAGAACCATTTTGTTTGCTAAAGAACCCCCAAAGAACCTTCATTTTTAAGAGTGTAGATGACTTCACACAGCATCTTCTGCAGTTTTGGAATGATCCCCAACTCGCAGTGATGCAGCTGCCTCATTGCCAGAGTCCTTGTCTGCAATGTCCATGGTGGTTTCATCTTCCTTTGCTCTTAGCTGGGCTCTTTTAGCTTCCTCCTTTGCTTCCTTATCCAGCAACCTGTAGTTGATGCCCATGCCGACAAAGAGGAACACGCTTCCAACCAACAGGATTATTCCACAGCCCATGTAAGTGTACTTGTAGTCATGGTAGATGTCATTAAACTTTCCTGTGAATGCAAACAAAATGATTACAGATAGGAATACCAGTATAAAATGTGATTAGTGTGCTTAGGCCAGGCACCAGCCCTCCTCATGGAGATCTACTTTCCTGCAGAGTTCAGTTCCAATCTGCATCTAATGTGTTGCCCTGCCTTACCTAACACTAATGCTTCTGATCCAGTTGATCAGGAACTTCTGAAGAAGTTAAGTAGCTGGAGCAGATGAAGTGAACTCTGGCAGAAACTACACCCTGCAGGAAGGTAGATCTCCAGGACCAGGGTTCGTGATTACTGGCTTAGACTTTCAACAATAACACAAGGAAAGAGAAAATGGCAGGTTATAAATTCATTAAAAAACATATTTGAAATAATCAGAAACTGAAATAAACAGAGGCTGACTCACCCAACAAGGGAGGACTAAGTAACACTGGCCCGCACTCCACAATGGTCACCAGCCCCACAGCACTGGAGAAGCGTACTGCTCCAACCAGATCCATCAGAGTCTCAAACAGCACAGCACTCAGCCACCCGAATGCAAAGCCAAAAAAAATGGCATAGATCACAAACCCTAAATAGTCCACTGACAGAGGTGCAAGCAGGTGGCACACACCGTTTAACATAACAGAAGCTGCAAAGAAATATTGCACCCTAGGCCTCACCCATTTGGTGTTAGCCACGGTTCCCATGGAGGGTCGTGCTACCATGTCCACAAAAGCCAAAACTGAGAGCAAAAAAGCAGCTTTCTCTTTTGAAATATGTTTACTCTTGGCATAATTGCTGAGAAAGACAAGTGGGGTGAAAAGGCCAAAGAACATGACCATGTTGCCCAATAGGTACAGGAGAAAGCCACGGTGTTTGAAGAGGGACAGATCAATAAAACTGTTGACCATCTCCATCACTGTTTTCCTCTCCGTTGAAGTGACAGAACTCTTCACAGCAGGCTTGGGCTTTGGCCCAATGGGCCTCATGAGAGATCCAGCTACACAGCAGTTGAACAGAAGCCCACCCAGGATAAGGAAGCTTCCCCTCCAGCCAAACTGGTCATAAAACCAGCTGTTCAAAGGAGCTAAAGTGGATAGAAACACTGGGCTGCCAGCCATGGCAATTCCGTTAGCAATGGGCCTCCGCTTGTAAAAGTATTTGCCAATCATAGTAAGGGCTGGGTTGAGATTGAATGCAAGGCCGAGACCTGTAATTTAAACACAGAAAAAAAAAATAGATTAGTAGTTTCTCCATATTTAAACCAGCCTAGATTATGGTCAACATGGACTGTGTTTCCCTTTCATGAAGTATCTTAACCTACCTCCTACCACACCCACACAGAAATACAAGCCTTCCACTGTGTTGCAGAAAGAGGCAGCAATGAGTCCAACTCCTGAAAGACAGCCACCCACTATCATGATTGGTCGACTGCCATACTTTATTTACCAGGATACTGCTGATTGGACCTGTGGATAAGAAAGACAGCAAAACAGAGAGACCAATTACATAGTTTCTTACACTAGAAAATGGATAAGCACTCAAGGCAGACTCTATATAACACTATGGAAATATTTACTATGGATGTCTTTGATTAATAATGCTATTGTTCTTCAGTCTTATTTATATAATGTGAGGCTATTTTCTAATGAAGCTTCACCTTTTTCGGAAATGGCGTTGCAAATGGAAGAATGAACTGGATTAAAAAAGAGCAAAGTCTGACATAGTAGTGCATCATTTGGACGTTAGAGGGCACTGTTGCTTTAAGGTTATTACCCGTTACAGCAGAGGAATTTGAAATCTCCTGTTGTTCCTGCGGCCATCATTAACCTGCACCTTTGCTGTTTCTCCTGACAGCTTCAGACAGAAACATCACTAGGTGGAATGCTGGATAAGGCCTCACTTTTGTAGTATTACATTTCAGATACAATAACCTGAATCTAGATTTAAAGGTGCAGGAGACTTAATTACATTTTGGCAGACAAAGGAAGCTTATTAAGACATGGAGGTAGGACACATTGTAGTGGTATGTGATAGCTCCAGGCAGATTGTGAGCTGAAAGAACACTTCTTCTGTGGCCAAGGCCACAATGCAGGCCACTTCCTAAGCCAGTATCATGAACATGTGACCAGTAATATGCAACATATATCAAATGCAAACTTAGATGTAATTAAAACTATCAATTTTGTTAATGCTGTTAATGCCAGAGATACTGTGAAATCAATATATTGTTAATTCTGTGAATCACTAGGCAAAATTTCAAGTGTAGTTAGAGTAGTAGCACAAGGACTTATGAGCTAAACAAATTATTACAGTAAATCAGTGGTACAAATATTTAGACTATAGAATAAAGATATACAGTAGCTAAAATGACTAAAAAGCATAACGTTCAAGATGCCTTCATAACACCTTTCATACTGTGGAAACTGACATCCCAAACTCTCAATTACATTTTTAGAGTCTTTTTTGCATTTTATCCTTATCTGAAATTATCCCAGAATGTAATTTGTGGTAACTTTACTTAGGCAGGTAATCCTCATACGATGCTCACACAGTGCAGTTAGTACTGAGAATTTTTATAATGATACTTCTGGAAGATATTGCTGGATTATCCCTACTAAGAGCTGTAGCAGTCCATTTGCAGCTACGTAGTTACGTGCTCACTTTTAAGTAGCCTAATTCTTGCATGTACAAATCCTGTGTTGAGAGGAAACTTGGCCATGCAAGAAAAGGGGCCAATGGTGGGAGTGTGCACGTCCTCCTAGGCCCAACACAAAGGCCTGTCTTATTTGTCCGTTCTGTAATCCACTTCATACAGCCAGTAGAGGCAACTACTTCAGACATAAAGCATTTGAGTGAGTACACGCTTACGCTAATCTAATCTGGAAATGCGCAGCCTTATAAGAAACAAGTTTGCTTTGTTACACTCTGTCAACATGTAAGGCCATTTTAACAGTGGCCAACAATTATGCAATTTGAATGTTTGTAATGCTAAAAATGAGAAGAGCCAACCTCAATGTATCATTTGTGAATATATGTATTACCTCATAGCACACTTAATATATCTGGTATACACTTAAAATATCACTTAATATATATGGTAAGACCCAATCAAAGCATTATTTCTAATAAGAAATTCTTTCAGACAAACTGGCTAATCGTTAGCTTTTATAATTTACATAAAGGACTCATATATACTTATTTTTTTGTTTGCGCATAGACACTTTTTTGATCCAACATGAAAACGCATTCTTAGTAAGAAAACCTAGCTGCTAAAACTACCCTTATACCATACTGTATTTGTGCGTCTACACATCAGGGGGTCTTTTGCTCCTAGCAAGCTACCTTTGGGCTGTCTGGGCCATCAACAACTGGCGAGAACGCAAAAGAGAAAGAACTTGAAAGATACCTCAGCTTGTTGTGCCAAAACACTACAGCGTTGAAAAGACACAAACACAATCTGACAGGTTTTGCTAAGAGGCTGCCCAGACAAACAGCAAAAAAGTCAAAGAACACAGATATTTACAAACCCAGAGAGAGGGTGGCAGTAAAGAATAACACAAGGACTTGTGGTCAAAGCACTGGCCAGCGCAATCACGTCACTGAAAGAAGTCACATGTTGGGCCTATTAACATTACACTTCATGTCAGTAAATGATTACAACAAAATGTCAGCTGCTAATTAGACAACCCAAAAGCCCCAAATGGCACATTTGGGGAAATCACTGCTTGGTGGTGCAGAAGTAAGCTCTGCATCTGAGATTCAGCTGGCAGTGTCCTCAATGAGATAAAGTCAACTGCCCAGCTTTTCTCTCTGGGCATATTGAAAGGACAGGCAGCAGTGGTTCAGATGCATCATAGAAACTGGTATTACTGACCTGTGATGAAACCTACCCACTGGAAATTGATTGGAAAGGAAAATAGAGAAAACAGTTAGTCCTCCAATATTATATATTTTACGTTGCCGTTAAAAGAAAAAAAAAACAGCAGGTAGTAACAGGAGAAGCAAAGCATTCTTAACTTTTAATGTAAGTTAATGTACAAAGATTTTAATCCAAGTAGTTTTGGAGGATTTCTATTGGTCCATCCATCAGGCAATTTCCACATAAAGTAAAGGACAGCTGCTGTGTTTGAGTGATGTAGAAAAAAATAAAGAAAAAACAGATTTTTCTTAAACAAAAAACTTGATATGGTATTATGCAAGTAGTTTACATACATAAGTTGTGTAAGTTATGTGCATAACAGAAAATTTATAGTAACAGCTCTTTTCAGAAACCAAGCTGTTTTTGCATTGTATGGGTGGGTTTGCATTCATTAAGATCATGTGCTCCATTTTTTTTCACTGGGGTTTGGGCTTCTTTGGCCTAACAGTTGCAGTGTGGGAGTATAGAAGTCAGATCTGCAGTCATGTGCTCCCTACATTCCACTCCTCACGAGATCATATCTAACATGTCAAACTAGACTTTTAGAAGAGGAATTTTAGTGTTATTGTCTAAATTGCCAGTGACTTCCCCGTACACGTACACTTTTATGCATTTAAAAGGCTTGGAAGGATATTTACAGGGGGTTATTAACTGCAGCATGCTGACTGATTGCCAGGGTAGTGTATCTGTCATTTTGCTGAAACCCCTGAAATCCCCTCTGAAATCCCTTCGTCTTGTGAAATCCCTGAAAGGTTGAAGGTATGGGAGTTATTTGAAATGGGCTTTTATGACCTTTAATTCACTGTGCGTCTAATTTCCTCTTGAACTGGACCTGTACCTTCCTAGCTAGAACTGAGCTAAAAAAGTACAAGGCGAAAAGAGTGAAATGTTAAGTGATGGCACTCTCTCAGGAATTCTGAAACGAAGGTTCCGACGTGTTCACTCTAATCAGAAGAGCTTAACCTAGGAAGTATATATGCGATCCTGTATGCACTGATTGTATAGCAAATCCAGTGTAAAGTCCCTGCTTTTAAAACTCTCAAAAGCTGTAACATACAGTGCAGCATGTAAGTATTGGAAAGTGTCACTGTTCTTGTTGCTTTGGCTCTGTATTCCATCTCAAAGGATTTAAAATGAAAACATGAGGTGCTGAGGATGAGGTTGCTGCTGAAGAATGTTAGTTTTAATATACATCTGTACTGTTAGAAATAAAGGTGCTGTGCAGGTACATTTTTCATTCATCACGGTACAAACAATGTAAATGTTCCCTCAAACATTACAACAGTGGTTTTAAGGTCCAATTCTGTACCTTAAATAAGTTTTTCCCTAGGGAAAAAAAGTACCATATATACTTTTCATAGCCTAATGTTTTAAAACAGAACAATGAAATAAAGAGCCTGGAGTTGAGACGGGGTGTGTGGAGTCAATACAATTTAGAAAATATAATTTCAATGGACTATGTTCCCTGACTAAAGGTACTGAGATGTACCCTTGAGGGATACCACCCCAGTGACAAGAGGGGTACTGACCCAGTGACAGTTTTATACCTTTATTTCTGAGAGTGTGTATTGGCTAGACTATGTAAGGATAGGAGCCTTGTTCCATACATACTTGGACAAATTAACAAAATGTTGTTTAACAGTTTGTTACTGGGAATAGTCCCTACTGGGTATAGTTCTACCAGGTCTGTAATGCAGCCAGTTTTCTGCCCCTGCTTGTTTTTTTTTTATCCATCTTGTCTTCAGTAAGGGAAATTTATGCTCAGTGGAGTTCAAGTAAGGTGATTGACTTGACTAGTCAAGAACATTCCACATTTTGGCCTTGGAAAATCTAGAATTTCTTTCAGGTCACTGTTCTGCTTCAGAGTAAAGCACCAGCATTGAGACATTTTCGAGTTTTGAGACATTTGGTCGGGTCTGAGTTGTTAAGTTCTGTACACTTCAAAATCAATCCTGCTACTGCTGTCAACAGTCGCATCATTAATAAAGACAAGTAAGGTCGTTCCGCTGGCAGCCAACATATCCACGCCAACATGTTTCACAGATAAGATGGTGTACTTTTCAATTACGAGCGGTTCTGTTATTTTCCACACATTTCATCACTCTCATTCAGGTTAAACGTCTTCTGTGTCCTTAAGACTTTGTCCAAGAACTCTACAAGCTTTTTAAAGATCTTTTCAGCCATCTGTAGACTGACCTTTCTGTTCCTGACTGGTTTGCAACTTGTGGTAAATTCTCTAAGGTCATGTATTTCTTTATGACAGTTTTTGACACATCTGTGCCTTTGTAGAAAATGGGCTGTGATTCCTGTATTTTCATGAATTAGAGATAAACATTAGGGACGCACAATTATATTGGAATCATATCAGTAGCAGCAGATAATTACTCATGAAAAAAAAATTGGCATCAAACAGATGATTAGATTTGACTGATATTTTAAACTAATATTTGATGTATTTATTGTACTCCGGAAGAGAGGAATATATAGGAGAAGCTGTGCTATAGTGCTAAAATGTCTGCATTTTATTCATTTTGCTGCATTTGTACTGCAATAAAAAATAAATGTAATACAGTATCTCTCTGTAATGCTAACCAGGTTGATTTTTATTCCCAATTTCTACATTTTATAAATGCTTATGTATCAGAATCAGCATTGGCAGATACACTATATGGCCAAAAGTATGTGGACACCTCTGCTAATTATTCGGTTTGTGTGTTTCAGCCACACTCATTGCTAACAGGTACATAAAATCAAGTCATCCTTTCTTAAAAAGAAATCTTAAAAAAGATGGTTCTTCAAGGGTTTCTTCATAAAGAAAATGGTTCTATATAGAACTATGAACACTCAAAGAACTCTTTGCATGATTAAAGTGGTTTTTGCATCACAAAAGTGTTCTTCAGACTGATGGAGAATGTGCCGTAGATGGCTTTTTAAAAATGATTCAATACAGCACCAAAAAGGGTTCTTCTGTCGTTACAATGTCAAGCTTGTTATGTTAACAGAACCATTTTTGGTGCTATATATAACCCTTTTTCATAAAGGTTTTATGTATAACCCTTGAAGAACCATATTTTTTTAAGTGTGTAGATCTGCCTTGGTGAATGGAAAGTGCTATTATTTTTAAATGGAAACATCTAGCAACAATAATAGCTCAGCCACAAAGCAGTAGACCATGCAAACTAACAGAGTGGGGTCACTGTGTAGTGCATAAAACTTGGCAACTCCATACTAATGCCCATGGTTTTGGAATGTCCAACAAGCTCATGTAGGTGAGATTGTCCACATACTTTTGGCCATATAGTGTATGTACTGAAAGGGTAAATGCCCTAAATATGGGTTAAACATTCTGCTCTTTATCTGTTCTTATCATTATTTAATTTCCAGTGTGCTGCACTGGAGTACGAAGTTAAAACAAAAAATATTGTGTCAATTTCCAGTTATATTTGGGCTGCATTGTATGCAAAATAATTGAGTTCCTTGACTATCTTGGAGACACAAAACACCCTTTGGTTTACGACTGCACAACATATTGTTTGTTGAAAATTGGCCATTTCTTTGTTGATATCTCAGTAGGCTGCAATATGCTAATAAGCCCGCTAAGAAAACACTAAATGTTTTATTGTGAGCTGTGAGTGTCTTGATCAACCTCAGACGTTTCACATGAGTTTCTGTGGACGGGCTAGTGAGTCAAGACATTTACATGATCAAACGTAAATCATTTAAATCTTTCACCACATCACATCAATGATTCAGTAATGTCTTCCTACACTGTATGTTGTAGGTTATACTGTACTCGCAAGACATTGTTATGTAACTGCAATATGGAATTTCATCCATGTTGTACATGTGTATACACTTTCTGTGTACACTTGTATGCAAAATTTTTCGCACCTCTTGTCAAAATTATGTTTTGTGGAGTGAATAAGTACACGTCTTCTGCGTAGTAGTACACAATTTAATGCAGTTACTGTTTGTTTGCTGAATTTAACATATTGTTAAAAAAAAGTAAAACATAGATTAAGGCCTGTGAAAAAGGTATGCCACATTGTATATATTTTTTGTTTTAGATCATTTATTATTATTAATATTATTATTATTATTATTATTATTATTATTTGCAATATATTAACCCCTTAAATGACCAGGGCCCCCCAGTGGGCCCAAAGTTTCATTGCACACTTCTTTAACCTAATAGCTCAGCCAGTTTGCAATGAAGTCCCTGTAGCTGTAGAAAGGCTTAGTATGTAATAAGCCTGTGATTTTAAGGGGTTAAACTCAAATAAATGCAAATTAATTGAAATTGTGCACTAAATTTAGCAGAAAATGACATATTTCAGTTTGTTTCCTGTTGAGGTTGTATCTTATTTTCACTTAGAATATCAACAAAACATGTAATTTGACCAGGGGTGTTCAAACCTTCGCATACGCCTGTTTTTATACAGCTTATAGTGTAATCTTTACCTTACTATATTCCATAATGCAAGTTTATATATTCAGTCAGTTCCTGCACTCTGAATATGAAAGTGGATGCAGTATAGTAGACTACATAGCTGATCTGACATCATTCAGCAGTGCTCCAGTTCCTGAGACAGGGCTGTGTATTGACAGTAGTCATCACAAGTCTGTGTGACTCCAGACTGAAGCATCTCATCTCCTCATCTCTCTCCAAGGAAAACATCTGACACCCCTTGCTCACAGAATAAAAGGCTGACTGAGAAGACAGGCTCCAGAGGCAGATAGAGTTGCCCATTCAGAGCTTGCTCTCACAGAGTTACAGCGTCTAAAGCTTGTCCTGCACTCAACTGGCTCCTTCTATTCAAACGAATGACAGCCTTTTTATTTAGTCCATTTACGCTAATAGAGTGTACTGAGATCTTCATCATCTGTGTCATGATCTCACTGCTCATATCAAAAGACTGAGAAACGTGCTGATATAAGGCTGACTAAAAGACATGGGAACAGCCTTGTCCCATCTGGGACCAAGAGGATTAAGTAAGCCAGTAAAAGACATGGGCAGAGGATTACAATATCAAACAGACTCATGCTGTAAGACAAAATTGAGTGAATTTTTGTTTTGGGAATTCTTAATCTGCTGAATATAAAGGGGTGGGGGGCTTGAAAGATTTGAATGCATCCTCAATTATGCAGAAGTGTTACAGCTTAATGAAACCCGGGAACTAGCAAGGCTTGTGGATTCTCAAAGTGCTAGATTCACTCCTATATCGCTGCTTTCAGACAATGTAAAGGAACTCACTGCATATATATACTGTTATACAAAAGCATGAAATGTTCCAACGGTGCATAGTAACTAGTTATAAGTTTTTCAAGGTGAACTCCACCAATTTTTCAATTCTACATAGTTAGATGGCTTAAATGGCTAATGTAATGTATCTAAAAGCTACCTCACAGAAAATTATTACATGATTAAGATTATTTTACATGGTTATGAATATGCTGCCTGATGCCTATGACATGGTTTTACAATAAACCATGGCAATAAGTAGGCAGAGGTGGATTAATGCACAGCCTACTAGGACTGCAGCCTAGGGTCCCACACAGGGATTGGGGTCCACTGATAGGCCAAAAAATATAAATTTTTAGACAAAAAATTGGTGTATTACAATGATTGGCCCAACAGAATGTTCAGGATTGTTTAGTTTGGAAAGGTTTATAGGTCATTTTTAATTTTTGGTGGACTCTGTGGCACTGTTCGTTTGCTTTTACAAGTATGTGTGTTGGAAATGTCTCTTAAATGCATACTGTCTAAACGCTAAGAGAGTTAGGTGCCACCAGCTCAAATTGCCACTGAGTCACGTGAAATACAACTAACAGCTGCAATGGCCTCCACAACACCAACTGTTGCTGTGGAGCTAATGTTAACTGAAGCTGCAAAAGAGCATGCTGTACTAAAATTTATGAAAAGATGTGGGCAAAGGGAGTTAAAATGGACCCGGAATGGTGTCAGAATGAAGATGCGAATGTTGCACAATGGTAAGCATAAACACCAGAAGAGGTTCTTCTCTAAAGCACTCTACAAAAGAATACTCACAAAAGGCAGGTATGTATCAAGAGAATGGCTGCTGTTTTCACTGTCCAAAGGTAGTTTTTTCTTAGACTGTTTATGACTTTGCTGGAGTTCTAACAATTAATTCTACCCATCAAGCAATCCTTCTGAGTATGAACATATCATTATCGCATAGTAACCTAATATTTTAAACATTTTATTGTATTTTTAAAGTTAATGTACTACAGATGCCGCTCAATATTACTACTTACAGCCTAAGAAGGTGAATTAGTTTAGCTCGGGGCCCCTGATCACCTTAATCCACAACTGCATATAAGCTACTCTACCTACCTCTGACCAAGTTGTAAATCTGAACCATTAAGACAGCATAAGCTATATAAGATATAAGCTGAATCAGGTGTGCAAAAAATATGCAACACAGCTCAGCCAGAGAACTACATTAAAAGAAATCCAGAAAGCATTTCTGAGATAAGCAGGAAAGTGAAACTTCTACAAACATCTTGTCTCACCTCCTGCATACATGACAGCTAGCATGATGGAGGAGATCCAGGACACTTGGCTACTTGTGGCATTGAAGATCACTTCAATCTCTTTGAAGAACACAGTGATGGACTTTGGGAAGGCATAGGAGAAACCAATAGATATGAAGGCACCAACTACCACCGCCCAACCCCAGCCTCCTTCTGGGGGAGTGTATCCCACAGGACCTCCAACAGCAGGCGCCATTGTGATATTCACACAAAGGGAGAGCTGATCTTCTGCAAACAGAGAGCAGTGCTGTTTAAAAAGGCTATGTGACATCAGAAAGTTACATTACCTTAAATTACAACACCAACATCAAGAAAAACATCATGAAACATTTGCTTTTTCACACTTGTGTCCAACCTATTTTACTATTTTAACTTTACCCAGTTTAATATATTGAAAAAATACTTCATAAAATATAGCCAATGCAATAGTTATGCATAAAAAGTTCCCTGTAGAGGATGTCTTAACTTATTTTCAACAAAACATGTAATTTGACCATGAGTGTTCAAACTTTTGGATACAACTATTCTAACTATTCTATTCTAATTCTATCTAGTCTAATCAAATGGCCAAAAGGCCTTTACATGAAGTGTTTTAACATGAATTGCTCAGAAGCACTCACAGCAGAAAATGCACCTTTCATTTTTATTAACTCAGCTTCTAAACCTGCCTCAGCATATAAAATATCCATAAGCTGCAAAAGCAAGAGTTATATATGTTGGATGCCAACATGCCCTCCAAATGTGACGCTTGCTATTTCAGAAGGATCAGGGGTTTGTCTCAGAGAGTTCTACCAGAGTTCTACCAATATCAGGTTATTTTCTGAATTGGCATTTTAAACCACTCTATGTGCCCACTTGGATTTGTGTTGTAGGCTCAGGGAGAACTGAAAGGGATCAGTGACTCATCTCAGATTATGCTCCCTGTTGTGTTTTTATTCCAGAAGACTCCTCATGACACCACTGCCACTGATGCCTGATCATTGAATCCTATCTCTCTATTACATTCATCATAATAGGTTTTTAAGATATTGCCACATTTTCAATAGCTCCTAAATGCAATATCTGGCTTGAAACCATATATACTGCTCAAGATATGAGTAGACTTAGAGAGGCAGAAATGACAACCCTCCCCATACTTCCATATTGTTTTCTTTTTCAGTTTACTTCAGTGGGTGATGATTTCCTATACTTTCTCTCTGATATTAGTTGTATATATTGCATATTTTTAATTACATTCAGAAAGCTGGAAGCAACACTTGCATGGTTTATGAAGCAAACTCAAAAACAAAATGGATTTACAGATTAAATGGTTTCATGTAAATAGTTAGCATATTCACTCTCAGAAGCCACAGACAGTTTCACAGACAGTGCTCCTACCTTTCTGATTAAACTCTCAGCAGAAAGCAGTCCAAAGCACACTCCTACTCCTCAATACAGGCCGGAAAGTTTTTCCTGTCAGACGGTGACCTGCACAGTGAAGGCAAAGACCTGAACTAGGGCAAATACCAAAACAACAACCGCAGGCCTTTGGGACGAAAGTTTACATCACTTTATAATGTAGCAGGCTGGGTCCAACTGGACAGTTTCAACCTCCGGTGCTAGAGTGAGGCCACACTAGCTCTCATTGGCTCCTGAAGTCAACAAAGAGCCAAAGACAGAGTCCTATTGGCTCCACAAAGTCGACTGCCAAGCCCACTTCTGTCCACCTCTCCCCGCCTCCTTGTACTTTGTTCCAAATCCAGATTAAGAACTCCTTCAGCTCTCTTTCAGTAGGATCACAACTGGAATATCAGAGACAAAATTAACTAATAATTAATCATGTGCCAAATTTGTATTTTATTAAGGCGTTGAAGTAATTAAACTTCCCGCATTGTCATGAAGCTGTGCATTGTTCATGTTATTCCTAAAGGAGATGTAATCAAAGAAAGTTGAGTAAAGGTCAAGGAGAGGCCACATTCAAGCCCCAAAGTGAGACAGAAAAGTAAGAGCACAGTGGAACTTATATAAACAAGGCAGCATCATCTGAATCACTGGTGATTGGATTTGAGCAGCTGTATTGAACACCTTTTGTGAGCTCACTTGTTCACAGGCCTGCCAATTAGGTTCTCCAAAGGCACACATATTGTTATTGTTGAATGATTACTGAGAGCTTGTTATTGAAGGTCACCAAGGCTCTGAAGCTTCCATGTTCATATTACAGCTAGCAATTACAGTTTAGTGAAATACAGAACAGAACAGAATTGAATACATATTGTGGCGCTGGTATAGAGTAAAACACAGGAAGGCCATGATTCTGTTGTGAGAAGTACTCTCACAACACCGGCAGAAAAGGCACAGAACGTGCATGGAAACAATGGGGGAGGTCACTATTAAGCTTTCACCCTGTCGTGACCAACCCCACACAAAACTACCCACACCCCCAGACACAATAAAACATGTAGAACACACAGACCTCTAACTAAAGAACAAACAACATAAACAACATAAAACGTCATTTTTTCGGAAGGTGCGTGCCTCCTCGCATGGCCCTTTGCATGGCCACACCTCCCAAGCGTTTCAGAGGCAGTAGTGGACTATATGCTTATATTATTGCTGTTTGCAGTATTATAAATTAAGTATAAGCATCATTTGGAAATGTTCACTATTGTGAAAATATTTGGAGTCAGTTGTCGTAAAATAGCTGATATTCGGGTATTAAATATTAACTTTTACGATGTAGATTGAAATATTAAACCACTGATTTATTCACAACGTAAAGTATTTTGGTAACAGTGAGAAGAAATAACAAGTGTTAATAAAGAATAAGCTATAGTCATCTATTTGTAATCATTTTTGGCATAAAATAACTATGAATAGCTATTTGATCAGCGAGATTTGGTCACTGCTTTTTCAATATGAGGTATTCTGGATATTAATTTAATAATAAATTTTGTCTTAATGCTATATAGCTTTCTTGATTATTGTATAGCACCTCCAATTTACAATGGACATTTATTCATTTTTATAGCTTTCTAAAAATTGTTTGAAACATATTACCCTTGTTTAATGCATGTATCTACTATATATGTACATACATATATATACAGAAGTATTGGGACACCTACACATTATACCTACAGAAGCTTTTATGACATCCCATTCTAAATTCATAGGCATTAATATGAAGTCGGTCCCTCCTTTGCAGCTATAACAGCTTCAACTCTTCTGGGAAGCTTTCTACAAGATTTCGGAGTTTTGGGGAATTTTTACACATTCATCCAGAAGAACACTTGTAACGTCAGACACTTATGTTGGATTAGAGGGCCTAGCATGCAGTCTCCGTTCTAGTTCATCCCAAAGGTGTTTGATGGTGTTGAGGTCAGGGCTCTAAGCGGGCCAGTCAAGTTCTTCCACACCGAACTCGCCCAGCCATGCCTTTATGGATCTTGCTTTGTGCACTGGGGCTCAGTCATGCTGGAACAGAAAAGGGCCTTCCTCAAACTGTTCCCACAAGGTTAGAAGCATACAATTGGCCAAAATGTCTTGGTATGCTGAGGCATTAAGATTTCCTTTCACTGGAACTAAGGGGTCTAGGCCTAGCATTATCCACCAAACTTTACACTTGGCACAATGCAGTCAAGCAGGTAATGTTCTCCTGACATTCAACAAACCCAGACTTGTCCATCAGACTGCCACAGAATATGTTTCCACTGCTCCAGAGTCCAGTGGTGGTGTGCTTTACACCACTCCTCCCCGACTCTTGGCATTGTGCATTTTGATCTTAGTCTTGTGTGTAGCTGCTCGGCCATTGAAATCCATTTTGTGAAGCTCCTAATTTGCAGTTCATTTACTGATGTTGCTTCCAGAGGCTATTTGGAACTCTTTAGTAAGTGATTCAACAGAGGATAGGCACTGTGTGCTTCAGCACTCACCAGCCCCACTCTGTGAGTTTGTGTGGTCTACTGCTTCGTGACTAAGCTGGTGTTGCTCTAGATGCTTCCTTTTTTAGAATAATAGCACTTACAGTTGACAGGGGCAGATCTAGCAGAACAGAAATTTCACAATTTGACTTGTGGCAGAGGTGACATCCTATGACAGTGCCACGTTTAAAATGACTGAGCTCATCAGTATGACCCATTCTTCTGCCGGTGTTTGTCTATCAAGACTTCAAGGCTATGTGTTTTATTTTATCCACTTGTTAGCAATGGGTGTGGCTCACCATGAATTTGATAATTAGGAAGGGTATCCCCACACTTTGTCCATATAGTGTACATGCGAAAGGGTCCAGAAGTCTGTAGAATAGGAAAAAAGTAACAGAGGCTCACATGAGCCTATAGTCATCAAGCCCAGTGCCAAGCATCAGCTACAGGGTTATAGAGTCCCTCAGCATTGGGCTGAGGAGCAGTAGAACTGCGTTCTGTGGAGTGATGGAGTTCTATCCACTAGGGATGAGTTGGAGTGGTGTTTTTAATTCAAAAGTAATTATCAAACATCAGTACCTGACCTCACAAATGCTCTTGTGGCTGAGTACAATCAAGTCCTCACAGCAATGTTCCAACATCTACTGTATAGAACAAGACACTAGAAGCTGTTGTGCAGTGAAGCAGGGGATTTTTAATAAGTATGATAACCTTGATGTCAGGTGCAACATTCAATGAGCAGGTGTCCTAAAATTTTGGACATATAATATCAACTTAAAGCCTTTTTTGATTTGGCCATGGCTAAGAGATTCACTCACTACAACTACGCATAAAATTAAAGTGAGAGTTTATGACAGAATTTGATACAGCTCATCGAGCTTTATACAACATATAATTCGTAAAAACTAAAATAAAGCTAAAAATGAATATTAAAACTATGAAAGAGGAAAATAATATAATATAAAATTGTCTATAAGCAGACATAAATTGCATTAAAATGAATCTAAAACAACAATAACTGCCATTAAATCAAAGTGAAATAGCATAAAAATAACAAAATATTTTAGTTTTTGCAGAAACACTGAGCCTAAAGAACAGTTCAGATTTTTTGGTAATGATGAAAAGATGGATAGGGTATGAAATAGAACCATATACCTTTAAAATAAAAATGGAATGGAAAAAAATCACAAACCATATTGAATTTCAGAAGGATACTGAAAATAATATGGAACTAAAAAATGCAGTAATAACAAAAATCTATTATAACCACTGAAGAAAACTACACCCAAAGACGAAGGCACTCTGACCTATATAGAAAGCAGACGGGTTGCAAGCACCACTGATAGAAACGTCTCTGGTGGCAAATCATCTGGGGACCAAATGTATCGACAGCCGCTGTCCAATAAAGCGGCGCAGCATTCATTTTCTCTCCCTCTCGAGTGAGCTAGCGGGGGACAAAGGACCTGAGCAAGAATATTCTTCTCATTCTGGTCTGCCCAGACAAAACAAACATGATTTGGAAACATGCATGGCTGTGAGACAGACACCACACAGTCCTGCTGTGTGCCACCCATGCGGGAAGAATATAAAGAGCGACAGAAGGGAAGTGGCAGGGGAGAGGAACATGCAGCAAAATACGCTGATTATTCTATTGTGATCTGTTTTCATAAATTGGATTGCACTACTAACAAACTGCAGTGCCCAGTTTAGTGGTCAGTCATTGCTTTCATGCACAATATTGCGCTTTCTCAACATTTCATTTCTTAACACTGTTATTATTCCTTAATAAAATATGACTTTTCCCATGTCCTTTCATGTCTTTTAAAGTACAAGGCCTTCTTTGATTGTGCAGTAATTGTGTGCTAGGCCTAGAAATACAGGAAAAATATTTATTTTCCCTCATCTAATGCAGTAGTTTACTTCATGAACCACACCTAAACAACCCCTAGTTCTCCTTCATCTAAGGAAGCCGGATGATCCAGGCTAAGAGAAGGAGGAGACATATTCCCATTAGCCGCTGTGTTTGTTTGGGCTCCTCATTGTGGTAGGCCTCGTCCTGACGCCCTGCGCCAAGAGATCTAACATACGTCTATGGCGCTTAATACACGTGCGTAAAGAGAAAGGACCTGAGAAAATAAACACCTTCTACGTTTTTGAAGGAGGAACAGAGGAGTGCGTGCTCTCCCATTGAGCGCTTCATTGTTAACAACGTCAAGCTTTAAAGTGACAGGAAACACCCTGCATTTTTCTAGGATAATATAATAGTTTTTACATGCAACTGAAGGACTTCAAAGCAGTGACGTCATTAGGGTTTTATGGGCCCCTGTAGAACAAAATAATGCCCCCAACCCATAGAATTAATTGAAAAAATGAATGAATTAAAAAAGGACAATGTAAGTTGTTTAACTACTTTGGCCATCTAGCACAGGCTAAGAGTTTATATATATATTAATAATATATATTAGAGTATATTATTACATTATCAAAGCTATCCACTTGTCATGGGAGTAAAATTTCATAAGTAGGGAAATTAGGGGGCCCAATAAAGATGTACCACTGCTACACAGTCTGATATGTATGTTTGAGGTTTCACAATTGGCAGCATTTATCTTTACTATTTAAATGACTGAAGGCCCGTCATTGTCTACACATGGCAGTAATATGGAATTAATATAAGCCAG